TGGCCGTGCCTCGCAGCTTGCGGGATCTTGGTTCCCCGACCCGGGATCGAACCCGGTGCCCCCTGTGGTGGAAGCATGGAGTCCTAACCACTGGACCACCAGGGAATGCCACATATTTCTTCTTTTGATTCCTAAGAACTTTACAATCTAGTACTGAGACTACTGGCTCTTGACCTGGGTCCAAGAAGGTACACTGACCTTTGAAAGTCGCCCTGGACGCTTTTTCAACTGCCTTGTAGACGTACTTTGTTTTAACAGCTCCCGATGTCGTAAGACTGGGGTTGAAATAGGCCCCACCCTTGCCCTGGGGCCATCCCTCAGCACTCGGGAGGCTAGTGTGAAAGGAAACACAGGGTTTCCATCGTGGACACGATTTCCCGGCCATTGGCCTTGGCCGTGTCCTTTTAAGTTCCTCATAAAAATCACATGCCAGCCCAGAGAATACCCTGGAATGATCTGTGGGGAACCGATCGAATGAACTGCATATTCGCGCCCAGGCCAAAGTGATCCGCGGTTTGAAGCCAGAGCAGAGCATACTGCAGCACAGGTTACTAGATCAGTGGAAACTGTTCTGTCAGCTCATAAAAAGGTGAGAGAACTAAGTTTTTATAATAAATAGTTCTGCTGAGCAAACAATACCTGTGGTTATTACGGACTTTGGAAAATAAATGATTTAGACTAATGTCAGGCTCCAGATCCTGACGTGGTAGTTGAGCCTGCGAAATGAAAAGAATGAAAAGCCCCTCGGAGTCTTGTTGACGATCCTGCTGTGAAAGCACATGCCGTTTAATTCATCGCTGTACTTTTCAGATAACGTTTATAGTTGGCAGTATTAACCTCTGCGCGCTTTCATGTTACTTATTGAGGGCAGCTGTCTGGTAGGAGTCGTGTTGTTGAGGGGCGGGTGCGAGCCGCAGTTTGGCGAGAAGTGGGTCGTACAAGCCTGGTGGCAGACGGGTTCTAAAATGCAGCCGGCACCGGCGGGTCGGCCAGCACCAAGGGCTGCGCTTCCCGTCTCCAGAAGCCCTGATCACAGTTCAGTACCCAGCCAGCTGTATTTTTCTCTCACCTTTTAAAAAGCGTGCCCCTTGGGAAAGTGAATCACGAGCCTACAGGCTTTTAAAATGATCATCTGAACTTTTCCTCACCCACTGCATCCCTGCCTCCTTCCACTGCCTCCTTCCGGGCTTTCTGGTCCCATCCGTGAAGGGGAACCGCAGCCCCTCTGGGCCCCACAGTCGCCAGGGCACCTGGTTTTGAGCTGCCCGACTCTGTAACAGCAGGGCTCAGTGTGGGCAGTATCGGCTGAAAGCTCTGGAAATACGAGACTTGCTCTCGTAATGAAAGGTAAGGGCCGCACTTGTTATCACATTCAATATTTTGGTCAGCTTAGCAGTTGCTTAGTAACCAAAGTTAAACTGATGAGAAGATGGAAAAACTTGAAATTCATTTCCAGGGATTGCCTCCGACTGCCAAGAAGACACCTTCCTGTTTAAATGTGACTAATTTTTAATAAGTGACGTGACATCTTTTGGAGATGATACGTTGTTTTCTGGATATTAAGCATTGTAATGACCGTCCAAAGCCATTCACCTGAGGAGGCGCTCGAGCCCACCCAGGCCCCCTGACCCTGGCCAGATCTGCGTGCCACTTCGCAGACCCGGCAGGTCCCAGCTTTGCCAATCTAGCCTCTAGGTGAAGCCAGACCCCTGGGAATCCCTCTCTTTTTTAGCCCAGGCCTGTGTCTGACCCTGTCCTGGCCCCATGGCCAATGGCAGTGGCCAGGCAAGGAGTGAGGCGTGGATAAAAACAGGGGAGGGTGGGCCCCCAGGCAGCCACATCTCTGCCCCTTATCTCCAGAGCAGAGGTTGGGGAGTTGTACCGGGAGGATCCCCTGCTCCTAATGCTGAGAACTGAAGGTGAAGCTCAGGCCAGAGGATTTTTCTGGTGGAGGGGAGCTATCAGTGTTTACTGCGGGGGCCTGGGGTCATCCCCTGCCTCTCCTCCTTCACTCGGCAAAAGACATTGAACGCTGCTGTGTGCCTTCAGTTCATCCTGAGAGACACACAGCGGGGCTGCCTCTCTGTCCTCCCTCCTCCCCCCATATACACTGCCAAGAAGAGTAGCTGGTACCCCCGGGGAAAACAGCAAGGCTCCAGAGGAGAACACCCCTGTCTGGAAGACAGACCCCCAAACCCATCAGTGTATGTGATCTGAAGACAGGCAGATGGGCCCCACGTACAAAATAAGCATGAGAAATACACTCGAGGAAACATAAAGCAAAACCAAGGAATAATTTTAATAATGAACGGAGTGGGAATGACAGGTGTCGAGAACAGAATAACTACACTAAGGAAGCAGAGAGAAGAGATGGATCACAGGTTGAGCACAGCTACAGGGGGGTCAAGTTGAAGAACCACCCAGAAGGAGCAGGAAAGGATCAGGACATAGCAAATGTAAGGAAAAGTTGGACGACATGGAGGACGGAAGTAGACGGGCCACCAGTAGCCAGATAGTAGGAGACCCAAACCAAGCAGAAGAAACATCTGAATGACGAAGATAAAATTAGCCAGAATTAAAGACGAAAGGGCTCACGAAGGACCCAACAGGAGAGATTCGGGAAACCCTCCCTGAGACCCCATGCTCGGGATCTCTGCTCCCCCAGCCCAGGCCGTTCCCCTGGCCACCAGCTCCCTGACATGCGCCAGAGAAGAAGATGGGGCACCTGGAGGTCTCGCTTCAGGTGTTCAGCAGGAAGGCGGGGGGCTCCTGTCCCCCTCTGTAAACGCGGCACCGGGGGCTGTGCAGGAGCCACGTCTGCCTGCGCCTTTCCCGTGGCCCCTGCCGGAGCCAGGGAGCTCGTAGGTGTCGGAAAACATTCACGGACCGAGGGAGAGAGTGCTCGGATGACGCCAGCCGCCGGCAGGCTGGGCGGGTGGCCGTGTAGATCTGGACTTTGTAAATACGTAGTGCATAACTGTTTGATTAAAGTTCAAAACTTCACGTAACAGTTGTGACTTGCCTTAAAAGAGAAGTTTGTTAACTTTTGATTGCCTCTCATGCGCAGTGACATTTGCGCTCCATCAGCAGGTTGTCAAGAAAGCTTTCAGTCCTGGCCGCCGTCAGGTCCCCTTTTCTGTCACTTGAAGACCAAACGCTTTCAGTGCTGGTTTTACCCTCTGGAGTCGAGGCAGTTTCTCTCTGAGATCTTGGAGGTTTCTGTTTGCCATGGTGCATTAAGATGTTTTGTAATTGAAGCCGCCCCCGGCCCCCAGCCTGTCTCTGCGGGGGCCCAGTTTGGGTGTTTGTCTTAGAGACACTGCCTGCTTCACGAAGTTGTCCTAAAAAGAGCTTCGTGTAACTAGGCCATTTGATGAGTTGTTTCGGACTTCTCCCGGACGAGTCTGCAAGCAGGATACTATTTCAAACAGATACGACGATCGGTGAACCTGATCACAAGGCATCTGTTACCCCGTGTGGGCTGCTGGGAGTTGACGAGATGGCCTTGAATCGCAGGGCGCCGTACAGGCTGGAAAAGCCTCGGGGCCAGAGGAGAGAACACACGATGCAGCAAATGGCAAAACCGGACCGGCCAGGGCCTGGGTAGTTTGTCCCACTCTCTATGTTAAGGGTGGATGGCCAAGACCAGAGAAGTAGGTTTGGGGGACAGAAGAACCCTGGAGTCGGCCCGTCCGAGTGCCCCAACCTGTCCCAGGGAATAGACTGGCCCACTGGCCCGTTGCTCGCAGGACAGGCCGCATTCAGGACCCTGGCCTCCAGCTTGATGCCAGGCCCTGTGCCGGCAGGGATGAGGGTGAAAGAGACGCACCCTGGCAGGGAGGGAGAGCTGTGCTACCTCCTGAGATGGAGCCCCTGGCAGGGTTGGAGGAGGGCTGGGGGGTGGGGGTGGAAGTAGGGGATGAGGTTCCCAGGAGTGGAGGGTGACGGGGCAGACGTCCAGGCTATGTAGGGCCCGCCACGTGGTGGGAGCTGCCTGAGCACAGGGCTGGGGGGGGGGGGGGGGGGCAGGAGCCTTGGCCCCGAAGGGCAGCCAGGGGGATTCAGCAGGCAGAGAGGCCGGCGGGGAGGGGTGGAGCTCAGTCCTGCAGGCGGCAGAGCCAGCTCAGGTCCCCGTGGGGCGTGGAATGAGGCGGCCGCAGCAGGAGGGGGCGCACTCGCCCACTGCTGGTCTGCAGCTGTAACATTCCGCCCCCCCTTCCATGAGTGGGCTGAACCTTCCTCGGGCAGCAGTCTCGGCCGTGGCCTCCTCGTCACAGGGGCCGTCATCGAGACTCGTCTGGGGCAGTGACTTCCCTGGGCGTTCCGTTCAAACCTGCCACAGACTTTTGGAACTGACCTTCTCGGTAGAACTCTGAGCATTCCTCTCTCTCTCGTGCTGTTGTGTGTTGGAAGCATGTACGTGCCTTCAAATTACTCAAGAAAGTACTTTCAGAGCAGAAAAAAAGAGAAAGAACAAACAACACCTGGAAACCCCCTGTGTGTGAGCAGGCTGAGGGAGGATGACGGAGACCCAGGTAGTTTTATCGCACAGACTGCGGAGCCCCCCAGCCTGCATCCCCAGCCTCCTCCCGCCTCCCCCACCTGCTCGTGGTTCTCTTGGTCCTAGCAAACTTCTACGCATCCTTCAAAACCCAGTTCACACATCACCTCCTCTGAAACCTTCCTGATTCCCTCCCCCCAAAGAGAATTCATCTCTGCCACCTCTGTTTTTCCAGAGCATTCTGTTCAGAGTTCTGTTCGCTCTCTTGGCAGGAGGCGCTGTCTCCCCAAAGAGACTGGCGCCCCTCAAGGGCAGGCGGGCTCTCCCGCCGATGCAAGCCCACCTCCTCCCAGTGGGTGGCAGAGTCCCCTTCTGCGTGGCCCCTCTCCCCCGACACCGACCTGCGTGCCTGTGGGTCATGCTGCCGAGTTGGAACCGCGGTGGCCCCCGAGCCTCCCTCGCCGCTGACTAACGTGCTGTCTCCCTCTCACCTCCCCAGGGCCGACGAAATTGAAATGATCATGACGGACCTTGAAAGAGCAAACCAGGTAGGACGTTTGATGGCTTCAGGCGCGCAATCACAAGAGCGTAGCCCTTTCTGTTCTCTCGCAAGAGGCTTCTCTAAGCTAGGAGGCCAGTTAGTCTTGTACCTTTCACATACAGCTGTCCACGTTGACGCTTTTTCTGATGTCATGAGAAATACGTGAAAAGTCCCAGGCGTGATTTCCTTGGGAAAGTCTCTGACGTGGTCCCAGCATCCCAGGCACCCCGTGGTGATGCTTTTTCTTAATCCGTCTCTTGAATCTCCGCTCTGTTCCCGTGACAGCCGTTATGCCATAGAGTTTATACCAGTGCGTTACCCCGTAGCAAAGTCTGTCTCTCCACCTTCTGACGGGATGAAGCCACTTGCTCTGCAGAGGGCTGCCAGCTGCCAGCCCCTCGTGGTTGATACTTAGTTGTCACAATGCTCTGCGCAAAGTACCCCCAGCACCGTGTCCGGCATGAAGTAGGCACACGGTATCCAGTGGCTCTAACCGCTCAGCTGCCTGGGAAATTTGGCCACCCTGCAGGGCCCCGCCCCTCCCCAAGGACTCTGCAGAGCAGGAGAACATTCTGCTCCAGCATATGGTGCTCCTGCTTTGAGAAGAGAGGGGTCTCTCGTTTTAGTTTATTTATTTGCAGGGAGAAGCAGCCAGGGCTGGGTTGCGTGTCTCAGCCGCAGAAGGCCGGGGCAGTGGTGGCCTCTCCCCACTCAGTTTTACAGCTGGGTCACTCCAGGCACTTGGAAGCTTAGCGGTTTGCCTCGAGTGGCCCCATGGGATGAAAATCTTTCTCGGATCCATGGTCTCAGCTCTCCACCTTGTGAGGGTCCCACGGGGTGCCTGTGCCCCTGACTGGCATTGCTAACCCGGACCTTGGCAAACACTCAGCAAAGAGCGGCCCTGTCCATTCTTTGGCCCATGAAAATATCCTGAAATCTGATTAAAATATGAAAGTCAGTGTATGCATAAGAATGATCATGGAACGTGTGGATTCCTTTCTTCTTTAAGGAAGACTTTGTGTGTTCGGTGTTGCACACTCAGACTCACCCCTGAGTATCCTGGGCCTGGTCCATAGGGGTTGCTCAGTAGAGATGCGTGGACTGCATCACCCGAGGTAGCATCTTTGTGTAGTAGCTATGCTGGTCACGGTGAGAAGAGCTGACCGTTGTCGAGTAACTTATTTTGTACCGATTGTACCGAACTTCACACGAACCAAGTCACTTAAACCTCACTGTTTTCCACCAAGGTCAGTGTAGTTATGACTCCCATCTTCCAGATGAGGAAACTGAGGTCAGTGGCCGGTCAACTGCAGAGCCAGGCCTGGCGCCTGTGCCATTCACCACACTCGGAAGCAAGGATAGAGCCTGGGGGCTCACTTGGCCTTTCTTTATGTCCCAAATACACCCATTCAGCTCCTTGCCCTAAAGCACTACTTCGCTTCACCTCATAGAGGTGCCTAAGCATTTATTTACCTTAATTTGCTAAACGAATTTAGTTTGGCCCCTTTGTTCTTACTCAAGTAGCACTGCTCAACTTTGCAGAAACCTTACTGGTGAACCTTCCCTGTCACGGGATTATCATTCGCATTTCTCAGTTTCCACTCCCCCACCCTCTCCCTCCCTCCAGGCCCATCGCGGGCTGCTTCCCCTTTTGGCGGCACTTTGGGGTAAGCTCTAGCTTGTTAGACAGATGAGCTGACTCTGTGCATATCAAGTGGTCAGGCTCCATCCAGTTAGACCCCAGGTACTAGGAGGTTTGGCACAGATGACGTGCTTCTCAAAGTGCTGAAGGCCACTGGGTGGATTCGGGTCCTCGGAGACACCAGACAGGACCCTGAAGAAAGGTGCCGCCTCCACGGTGACAGTTGGTTCAGGTCCGCACTCGGTACTTCCTGGCCATAGATGGCCTTGGACAAGTCTCTCCACTGCTTACATTTCTTTTAAAAAAAGGAAAAGAAAAAGATGAACTTTGCAGACATTATGCTAAGGAAAATTAAACCGGTCACAAAAAAACAGACTGTGTGATTCCACCTGCATGAAATCCCTAGGGTCGTCGAATTCATAGAGACAGAGAGTAGTAGAAGGGTAGGTGGGGGGGACTTCCCTTCCCTGGTGGCGCAGGGGTTGGGAGGCCGCCTGCCAATGCAGGGGATGAAGGTTCGAGCCCTGGTCCGGGCGGATCCCACATGCCGCGGAGCAACTAAGCCCGTGCGCCACAACTACTGAGCCTGCGCTCTAGAGCCCGCGAGCCACAACTACTGAGCCCACACACCGCAACTACTGAAACCCGCGTGCCTGGAGCCCATGCTCCGCAACGGGAGAGGCCACTGCAGTGAGAGGCCCGCACACCGCAGCTGTGGTGGGTGGCCCCCACTTGCCACAGCTGGAGAAAGCCCACGCACAGCAACAAAGACCCAACGCAGCCAAAAATTAATTAATTAATTAATTTTAAAAGGAAGGGTAGGTGGGTGTCAGCGGCTGGGGGAGCGGGGAATGGGGAATTACAGTGTTTAATGGGGACAGAGTTTCAGTTTTGCCAGTTGAAAACTTCTAGAGATGGTTGCCCGACAATGCGAACATACTTAACACTACTTTAAACTGTGCACTTAAAAATGGTTAAGATGGTATGTTTTATGTGACTGTATTTTACAATTCCATTTTTTTTTTAATTTAAAAAAATTGTTTATGTACGAGAGAAAGAGAGGGAGGGAATGATAACTCGTACAGGCAGACCTCGGAGAGATTTCAGGTCCCAGACCACCGCAAGAGTGGGTATCAGGATGGGAGTCACACAGATTTCTTGGCTTCCCCGTGCATATAAAAGTTAAGTTTATGCTACACTGTAGTCTCTTAAGTGTGCAATAGCATTATGTCTAAACAAGCAATGCACATACCTTAACTTTAAAATAATGCTGTTGGAAAAATAGCGCCAGTGGACTTGCTCAACACAGGGTTGCCACAAACCTTCAGTTAGTAAAAAACACAATAAAGTGAAGCGCAGTAGAACGAGGTCTGCTTGTACGTCCTTCACAAGGTTGTTTTGCGGATTAGAGGTAAAACACCTGTAAGTGCGTGCTTAAATTCATGCTCTGTAGTTGCCAAGGAAGCCTGGGTTCGCAGGGAGAATTCTGAAGTCCTGCCCAGGAAGATACCAGCACAGTGCGGGTGGGGAGAGGTATAGGAGAGTCTCACCAGCCACTCAGGCTACATTAGTAGAAACAGCCTCTGGAGTGAAGGGGGTGGTGATTCTGCAGCCGGCTGTAGCAGTTAGTTCATGCCCGGGGAATTATCGTTTGTCCTGGAAAACCACACACACTAGAAGGAAATCAGGCACATGCAATGCATTCAGGCTCCACTCCATGGCCAGGACGGGGAAGGGGCCCTCACACGAAAGAAACAGGGAGGTCTGGGGACATCCCTGTTCTTTGGGGAGCAGGGAAAGAAGACAGAAAGACTTGACACATCAGGAACTTGGGATGTTAAGAGATTAGAAAGGGGAAGGCCTAGGGCAGCGGTTGTGGATTCTGGCCTTGCAGCTGGCCAGGGCTGGCCAGGGAAGGGGTCGGGCTTTTTCACGGCCAAGTGCAGAGGCTGATGGGAGGGAGCTTCCTCCCGATGCAGAGGTGCCTGGAGCTGCCTCCGAAGGGAGTGAGCTCCCCGTCACCAGAGCTGTGCAGGCAGATGTGGGCCATCCCTCGCTGAGAGTATGAGGTGGAGGGTCAGACACAGAGCAAACAGAAGGGGCTGACTCGGTGGCTCAGCGGCTCAACAGGGATGACTCAATGAGGAGAAAAACTCCCCCGGGGGACAAGGAGGAGGGCAGCGCCCAGGCAGGCAAGGAAGGAAGGGCCTGTACGGAAGGGCTCCGTGAGCTCTGGGGGCTCCAGGCTGTTCCGTAAAGCCCCTGCGGAAAGGTGGGCCCAGAGGAGGGGGTCTAGCCAGGTGTGGGGAGGGCCTCACCCTGAGAACAGTGGAGAATCACGGGCGGGAGTGAGACATCAGATTCGAGTTCTAGAAGGATCGCTCTGGCTAAACATCCAGAGAACAGAGGGGAGTGAAAAGCCTGGAAGCCGGGAGAGCAGTAGGCAGCTGTTGTGATGTGTCAGGGCAGGGATGAGGCGGGGCCCATGGCGACGAGGCGGAGGCGGGCCGGGCCGGAGGAGGGGTACCGGGGCCGGGCGCCGCCAGACGTCTGGTTCCGTGCCTTGCCCATCAGGGGAGAGCCTCGGGAGGAGCAATTTACTACTGCATTGGCATATAACATTATTTTTGCGCTGGTTTATAGTCAAAATGTTCTACTGAGACCTGAAGCTCTATCTTATCGCTGAAGTACTTGTGTTTCTAGCGAGGAGAAGTGGAAGGGAGTCCGACTGGTGACGGGCAGTTAGGGCTGAGTCTCACTTAACACCTCTTTGTCCGACTTGGAGGTGCTTGTATTAATACTGTCTTAATTGGTGACAGTAAAGGTTCAGAGCTTTTCGGGGAGGAGGGGGTAGGGAAATTTGCTCTTACGGCTTTTCTGAAATCGTGGCTCAGCAGCCTGTGGGCTGTAACAATCTGCGTTTATGCAGGTGGTGTGATGCTGGGGGAGGTCCAGCTTTCAGCCTGGCCGACCCGAGAAAAGAAATCCAAATCAGTACCCATCGCGTCCCCCAGAAACACAGGCGGGGGGTCCAAACGGGACTCCGGGGCCAGCTTGGGATGTGTGGCGGTAACTCTCTCGGTGGACCTTTCCGACCTCTCTCGTGCAGCATCACTGAAGCGGGTCCACCTCTGGGCCCTAGCTGTCCTCTGCAGTCGAGTGTGGGTATTGACCTGGAAGGGTGACCGGAGTTAGCTGTGCACTTTCCACAGCGATGGCATCTGTTCCCTTGGAAGGTCACTTGCTGGTCTCCGTAGTCGTGCTCCCCTTTTCTCTCCCTCCAGCGTCCGGGGCTTTGAGGGGAGCAGGTTGAGGAGTCATCCCCGAGGAGAGCTTGCCTTCTCCTGGAAATGGTCCAAATGTGTTATTTGTCCTTGAGGACTGCGGTGGCCAGAAGAACGGCCCCCAGAGGTGTCCACAGCCCAATCTCCACAACCTGTGCATAGGTCCACTTACCTGCAGAGCACAGTTAAGGCTGTGCATCTGCTGACCTTGAGATGGGAGGGTCCCTGGGGTTATGCAGGTGGGCCCTCCATAATCACCAGGGTCCATAGGTGCAGAGAGGGAGACAGAAGAGTCGGAGCGATGGGATGTGAGAAGGATTTGACTGTGGCCACTGCGGGCTCTGAGGTTGAGGAAGGGGTCGCAAGCCGAGGAATGCGGGCAGCCTCTAGGAGCTGAAAACAGATCCTGCCCCGGAGCCTCAGGAAGGGACCAGCCCTGCAGCGCCTTGATCTTACCCCAGTGAGACCCACAGCGGACGCCTGACCTCAGAACTATGACGTAATAAGCTGGTCTTGTTTGAATCTACTGAATCTGTGGTCGTTTGCTCCAGCAGCCTTGGGAAGTTACTGCAGGAGGGACAGCCTGCCAGCAGACCCGTGTGCCCAGCCGCGGCCCGTCTCCCTGGGGGCACTGCCCTTGGCCAGCTCACATGGCTGCTGTGTCACTAAAGGGACTTGCTCACCTCTGGTGTCCCCAGAGGTGGGCTTTCATGGCCACACATATAAAAGGGACAAGAGACAAAGCCTAGGGCCAGGTTGGGCAGAAGGCTGGATCAGAGACACCCCCCCACCTGCCTCCACCACCACCATATAAAACCAGGGGACTCAAAGCCACACCTTAAATGGGTAAACTGGGGAAAGCCTGCCCGACAGGGGAGGTGGTGAGGATTCCCTCACATCCCAGCCTTGGTGCTGGGGGAGAAGGAAACAGCCCCTGCAAGGGAACCCCTGAGCACAGCCCCCTCTCCCTGGGCCCCGGGCCCAGGGCTGCGACCGGCCTCACCAGCCGTCCCCTGCAGGCTGCAGCCGCCTGAGCCTCTGCCTTTGCCTCCTCCGTCTGCCCCACCGGCCGTGCTTCTCCACATTTTATGACTTCCTGGTGACAGCTGAAGGAAGCTGGAGTTTAACCTGAAGACCAGCTACAGTCTTTAGTAATTTTCCCCTAAAAATTTTAAGATTTTAAATTTTAAAATTTTTCCTCGGGACTTCCCTGGTGGCACAGTGGTTAAGAATCCGCCTGCCAACGCGGGAGACACGGGTTCGAGCCCTGGTCCAGGAAGATCGCACATGCCACGGAGCAGCTAAGCCCGTGTGCCGCAACTACTGAAGCCCACGCGCCCAGAGCCCGTGCTCCGCCACAAGAGAAGCCACCGCAGTGAGAAGCCCGCGCACCGCAACGAAGAGTAGCCCCCGATCGCCGCAACTAGAGAAAGCCCGCGCGCAGCAACAAAGACCCAACGCAGCCAAAAATAAATTAACTAAAAAAAAAGTTTTTCCTCATTTTAAGGTAAGGAAAGAATCGTGACCACCCGAGGAAGCACACACCAGGGCCCAAAATAATAATAATAATTCTTCACTGGACGCCTGTCGCCGCGTGGTGGCACCGCTGGGCACCAGACTCGTGTTATCTCACTGGTCCCCAGTTGTCCCGTAGGGCCGCCCTTTCTATCTTTGGAGTTACCACCAAAATGCAAAGCAGCGCCCTCACTCATTCACGTGCGCTCTCCTTCCCCTCACGCTTCCAGCATTCACCCTCCCTTCTCAGCAAAGGACAGAAAGTAAGAAACAGCCAGCAAATCTCTCAGGAGGGCAGCTCAGGCTTGGCCAGACTCTGTTCTCACCGTGGGGTGGCTGCTGAGTCACACCCACGATGCCGCCAGCTGCCCACCGCGGCCCTGGCCGCGGTCCCCAGGCTCTGCCTCTGCAGGGACAGGGGAGGAGGAGTCCCGTCAGTGGAAACGGGGAGCTGGGTGTCTCATGGCAGCTACGGCCCCGTGTCTGGGCGTCCAGATCAGAAACCAGCACCAGAGCTTGCCCCCTCCCCACGCTGATTCCAGTTCTAGAAACACAACTTCATCTGGCCGGACTGTGGTCGTGGGGAAGATAGGAAACCCTGGCAACAAGGGAGGCTGCGGAGCCAACCCAGCACAGCACCCTTTTCCTTCCGCCTCAGCCGCCAGCGGCTGGGCTGCATTTACAGCTACAGAGACAGACTCACCGCGGCAGCTCCCGGCGTCCAGTACCCGCTCCTTCCTTCAGCAGCGCTCAGGCCCACTTTGACTTTCAGCTCTTCTGCTTCGCGCACGTTTAGCGGCACAAACACCTCAACTCGTTTTGTTTTGTTTTGTTTTTGACGTACTCAGGCTATAAATCCTGAATAAATAATAAAAATCCTAAACAATCAAAAAGTTACGGGGTGGGACTTCCCTGGTGGCACAGTGGTTAAGACTCCGCGCTCCCAGTGCCGGGGGCCGGGGTTCGATCCCTGGCCAGGGAACTAGATCCCACCTGCCGCGACTAAGAGTTTGCATGCCGCAACTGAGGAGCCCGCCTGCCGCGACTAAGACCCGCCACACCCTAATTAATTAATTAATTAGTTAATTAATTGATTTTTTTTAAAAGAGTTACAGTGAAGCAGCCGAGGCAACTTAAACGCGGTAAGAGGCTGTGACCACCGAGGACAGGTCCCAGGTTCATGACTGGACGTGAACTTGGAGACTGAACAAAGTGCAGAAGCTCTGGAGAAATTATGAAAACCGAGGGGGAAATCATCCACAGCTAAGATCCCTTATTCTGTGAGCCCCCAGCCTTTGATGGGGCAGCACTCTGCTCCCAACAGCGAAATGCCCACATGAGATCCTGGCCACGAAGCCCCTGCCTGGGCTGCCCCAGCTCTGGTGCTTCTGGAACATTTCACAGCCAGTGTTAGCGGGCGGGGGCGGGGGGATGCTGCCTCATTGGCTGCCACCAGAACTGCTTCTCCACTAGGCTAAGCACTGTTTTCCTTAGTCAGAAAGGCTAGAAATATGTCAAAATACACCTTCTTCCTGGCAGAGCCATGGAGGTTTTATGCCCAAGAGTATAACTGACGAGAAAGACGAGAGTAAACTTTTCAGTAATATGACTCGATTATCAGAAAAATGTGGAGTGGCTCATCTGGAAACAAACTAGGGGAAATCTTTTTCACTGGAGGGGAGAGCTTCCTGCAGTTATCGTGAACCAGAAGTCACCCCTGGCATCTTGGCCATACCGGTCACATCACCGCCTTTCCTGACACGGGCGCCTCTAGACGGTTTGCCGCGGACGGTGGGAAGTGGCCGCTCGAGCACAGACAGGCCCGCCCAGGCGCCGAGGGAGTTAGAGTGAGTGCAGTTCCAGGAGCTCCTGGAGCGGCGGGGCGGGCAGCCACCAGCACCACCCTGGGCAGGAGCAGCTACTCTTAGAAATACCCTAATGTGTCTGGATGCAGAGCAGATAGGGCCGCGCCGCCGTCGTAGAACCACTTAAGGCTGCCAAACCCAGTCGTCGTACAACTAGGTGGATCGGCGAGTACCGGGCAGGCTAACTGCTTGCTTCTCTTTTCCGTTCTTTCTTAGCAGTTAGTCGGCACGCACTGTCACACCACAAAATAAGAAAACACACGAAATAGCCTTAGTCAGCCAGGCTTTTCTTGTTCATCTTTTCTATGAGCAGAATGTACGTCTGGTAGAAAGAAGCAGTGATCGCTCCTCAGTCCACGTGCCCAGTGTCAATTAGCTACAGCTCCCCACCCATCCTTGCATTTCGTCTCAGTCATTGTAAAATCAGGACAAGCCCGTTAACAAAGCACTTATGAATGAGGGCGCTTCTGGGTGTTAACCCTCGCGAGGTCCCCGGGAGGGAGACGGTGTTCCCATTTTACAGACGGGGAGGTGGAGGCTTGGTGAGCTGAGTTAGGTGACCTGCTCTCATCCCTCTGGTCCCAAATGCCCGGCTCCTGCCCACTGCACCACGGTGTCCTCTTGGGAGGTGGGCACTGGAGTGACTGTTCTCGCTGACCAGTGGGAAATACTGGTTTGCTCTCCGGAGCGCTGGTGTCCTTGTCCGGGAATTACCGCAAATGACAGAAGCGTCCACTCGTTCCTCTTGCAGCCTCCTCCCTGTGGTGGCTCTGTTCGGCCTTACCCCCTCAGCAGCCCCTCGTTGGCCTGGCTAGCTGGAAATGCCAGCCTCAGCATTAGAAAACTTGGCCGGGTGAAGGGTTAAATACGTTGAAATAAGCCTGGTCCTCACAAAAGAAGTGGTATTTACACCCCGTCCGTTTATGGAAATACTTGCTGGAGGAAAACAACCACAACATTGTGCATGTTTTTAGGAGGAGAATGGCCAGAGTGTCTTTAATTCACTGTTTACCCGTGAGAATTACTCCCAGGAGTAATCCTGCAATAAAATCTTCTTGGGCTATGAGAATAGAAAGAAATTGAATCAAAAGACTCCATTTCCACTTGTATTTATTCAGTCTGGGAAATTCAGTGGGCCGGAGCGCTAGTATCAGCAGGGGATTCCTTGCTCCTAGCGTTAAATTACTGTCATAATCGCTCAATTATTTCTTCCTTGTACTGTTTAAAATAAAAATCCATCACATTCTCTGTTTTTTTCTAGCATTTATTAGGTTGAGTGTTTAGGAAAATCAATTATAGTCAGTCAGGCATGAATTGATGAATGTTTCTTGTAATAATTGTCAGTTGTTAAACTGAATGTACTTTCTCTTTCCACCCTTTTCACTTCCTTCAGAGGGCAGAGGTGGCTCAGAGAGAGGCAGAGACCTTGAGGGAGCAGCTCTTGTCGGCCAACCACTCTCTCCAGCTGGCCTCCCAGATCCAGAAGGCGCCGGACGTGGTGGGTAGCCCAGCCCCGCGGGGACCCCGTCGCCTCGCATCTGTACCTCTGTGTGTTAACAGCCGCTTTCTTCTTTGGCTTTAGAGCGTCCCTTTTCGGGGGTGATGTTTGAAACAGTCCTGCTGCCTCGGTGGGGAGTGCGTGTAACAGTCTGGGGGTGGAACCCAGTAGCGTCAGAGGGAAGAGCTTTACTGGTTGTGCGTCGGTGCCCGGCGGTCAGCGTGACGCCCACCCGGTGGAGAGCCCATCACCAAGAGAGCAGCTTCCCAGTTAGACTGGTGGGTGGACCGCTGGCAGATGGGTGGCGATCCGAGGCTGGAGGCTTGCAGGACTGCACAGGAGAATTGGAGGTTTGGTCTTCTGGATGTGTCCTTCCAGAGCGGAAAACAGTTCATGACGTGGGAGGAGCGGGGGAGGTAATAACACAACCCGCTCTGAGTCCGCGTGATAGTCAGGATCTCGCCTGACGTGCGGGCATTCAAGAGGAGCCAGGCACACATCTCAGACCTTTGCCTCTTGATTTTTCTAAGACTAATGAAAATTGCTCTTAGCTGGAACTTTCCCAGCTCGATCAAGGCAGCTTTGAACTATCGGACTCCAGACTCTTTCCTTCAATGCTGTGCAGCAGTACAGAGCGGCGGTGTCATTAAGACCGTGGCCACTGGAGCCAAAGCCCTGGGTTCCGAACCCAGCTCTGCAGCTTATCAGCTGTGTGACTTGGGGCAAGTGGCTTAACCTCCCTGAGTCTCAGTTGCATCATCCATAAAATGGGTTTTTACGAGGGTTCTGGAAATGACTCTGAGCGAAGCCTCTAGAGCACGTCCTGCCACATAATCCGTCCTCAGCCCACCTTAGCGGTTAGGCTGGCTGTGGTTGGCATCAGCACTCTGGTCCGGGAGCCCCGGTTTCAGAGCCAACTCCGTCACTAGTTCACATACAGTGATTAACTCAGGTGGTGGCGCTTACGAGGCCTGGTGTGCAGGATAAGGAGGAAGTAAGTGATCCTGAGGTCCCTGCAGCTCTGATGGCCTGTGATGGGTGAATTGCACTTGTAGCTGTCCTTTTATTTAATAAAGGGTTGGAGAGCCCTTGCTGTGTGCCGGGACCCGCAGTGGATCCTGGGAGAGCCAGGAGGGACGAGCCAGGCCCTTCTGGAGAGAAGACAGTCCAGTGGGAGATGTGCTGCTGTAATAAGGTCACACATCAGTTTGACTACCACTACCCCCACCCGACCTATGAAGCAGGGCATTGTTATTTCTTTATATAGATGAGGAAACGGAAGCTCCCTGGATGTAAGCCCCTTGCCCCAGAACGCTTGGCCCCAGCGGCCAAGCCAGGACTCAGCAGGGGCCTCTGCCGCCCCAGACCGGAGCTTTTAAATTATTCCCCAGGAATGGGTCCAAAGCAAAGTTTTAGTGTGAGGACCCCTTTTAAGACTGGATTTTTGTTTTCTGTCTTTAAGTTCACCTTAACTAAAACATGACTTAGGTGTTTCAGGCTACAGAGAAAAGTTTCCCATTTAAGGAACCATCACAACCTTTATACTTCATGGACTCTGGTATTAATTTTGCCTGAAATGTCCCCCTGGCTGTGTCACGGTGCCCTTGTCCAAGTTTACCTGGACTGGACCCAGCACCGGAGCCGAGGCGGGAGGAAGCCCTCGAGGATGGAATCGGTGCGGCTTCTCCTGGCCTCCGTGGTCGCTCAGGGTCCTCTCGAGAAAGCCGTGCATCGTGTGTCTACCCGGGGCTCCTGAGCTAAATGTTTTGATTGAAAGGATTTCTGGCCATCCTGGATTTCAGTCCATCCTGGACTGCAGCAGCCGAAACATTTCAGAAGGAAATGAATGTTTTCGCAGGTAGAGCAAGTTGTGGGTCCTCGGGGTGCTTAAACACTGCGGCATCGGCTAAGTGCAGTGTTTACACGGTCCCGCTTCAGCCTCCCGCGAGCCGGCCCTGCCAGGGCTCCCCTCAGGGACACGTTCCCGTGTAGCCCGGCAGCCCCAGCCCCAGCCCCAGCCCGTTGGGGAGCAAACGAGCAAGCGTAGGAAACCAGGCCAGCGGCACGATGTCTGTTGGGCTTGGCTGGCAGAACTAGGTAGAGAAACGGTGGAGTCTGTAGATCCAGCAAAAGCCAAAACCGGGCATTGGGCCATTGGAATCACCAATTCTGGAAGGCGAGCCGCCAGTCAGCCAGCCCCTGCTCCGCATCAGAGGCCGGGCGGGACTCTGTGCCGTTGTGTCTTTGCTGCGTCGTGATGCCACAGTCGTTAGAGCACGGTTTTATTACCTTCATTTTCTAGGTAAGCAAACAGGCTCAGAGGAGTTAAGTAATCTGCCCAAGGTCACACAGCTGGGAAATGACCGAGCTGGAATATGATCCCGAGTTTGTCCTGCTCCCAATCCACTCTTTACCCCTCCATCGAGCCACCCCTGCTTCGTGCGCATTCAAGGAGACAGGGGGCGTGCAGGCCCTTCGCCAAGTATTTACAGGCAAATGTTAGTCTGGGGCTCTGGTGCACCACACCAGGCCGCCTTCAACCTAAATGGCTGTCTGTCCATCAGGTGAATATACTGGACGTAGTCGGCACATGTCGGCCACTTAGTGTTGGCAGGAATAGCGGGGTGATGAGAAGGAAGGAGAACTGAGCCTCTCGTTCCCTCAACCCTCCCCGGGGAGATTAGCCTAGACTCCGAGTGTTTGCCTCGTAGGCTGGGGTCCCGGCCCACCGTCACCGCACATCAGGTTTCCCTCGTGTTCAGTGAAGCTCCTGCATCTCGTGTGAAAATGGCTGCAGGGTAACAGAGATCATTATCTGGCTTCTTCCGGCCTCGGTGTTCTGGTCTCTGTAGGAGGATTTACGTGACCTGTGATAGTTCACACAAGCGGTTTGGCAGAAGGGGGCGGGCGGTTCCGAGGGACAGAGTTTAATGGGGTACTCCCTCAGCGACTTCGGTTTCTGGGTTCATTCTCCCCTTGGGAAACATGGGGAACACAGGCACCGTGAGGAACGCAGGCCCTTACCTCTGAAGCCTGGAGCCTGGGCAGGTCCCCCTGGGACAGACTCTCGGGACCCCATTCTGGTGCCCACCGGGACCTGTTGTCAGACTGAGGGAAGTCAGTTTCTGTTCCTTCCTTCCGAGGCTTGTCCGAGCCAGGGTCCTGACCCTGGACCCCATCAGAATGAAGAGGGAGTCCTTGGGCCCTACCCCAGCCCCCTGAACCACAGCTGCCAGGGCAGGGCCCAGCTCCCAAGGGGTTTGGGTGGGGCTGAGTCGAGGCCTGGACAGACACGAGGGAGCCAGTGGTCCTGAGTCCCTGAATCCACCTTTGCTTCCCTTCTCAGTAATGATCTCAAGGGCACCTGAACTGCCAGACGCCGACCCCCCTGCAGTTTTCCACGCCCCCCCTCACCCCCCCCCCACCTTACCCAGCACCTTGTGCACCCTGTCGTACCATCTCCTTTTAGCTGGTGCCCACGGACCGACAGGCCCAGCTCCATCACCCAGGTGCGGGCCTGTCCCTCCACCCGCAGCCCCGGTCAACTCCCGGGCCCTTGTCTGTTTCTTCCTCCATTTTCTGCTGCGTCTTCACGGTGGGACAACAGGACGCCCTCGTGTTGCAGGCGGGAGCGAGCACGTTTGGGCTCGGAGTAGGATGGTGTTTTCTATCTTAATTCCAAGGTCTCGCTGCTTTGGGGTATATTGTCTCACCTCAGCTTAGTTTATGCGAGACACAAATGGTGTCTGCTCTGTTATGAATGAGGAATCTGTGGCCCGGGTTCATGAGTTAATTGATGTGCCTGAGGTCACAGGGTCAGCTTGTGGCCAGACCAGGCTGGGCCCCAAGAGTTGAGCAGCCAACTGTACCCTGGGACTGCCCGTCCCCCGGTACCCATCCTGGACCTAGGGCCACACTGAGAGCTCCTGTTTTTACGCAGGTTCTCTGAACCCTCATCCCTGCTGTGATTTGCACTCGCCCATTGAAAGCCCCAGATCACCTTTGGGCTTGTGTTACAGATTCTTTCCCTAAGGGCACTTTAAACAGTTGCTATGGCTGCCATCCCTCAGGTTGGACGATGGATAAATAAGTTAAATTAGATACCGTGCCACAGCCTAGACGCACCATGAGGCCAACCTCCCTGGGTATCACTTTCATCGTGTCCCCCTGCTGAGTCCAGGCCCCTCCTGCCGCCCTCCCGAGCCGTCACTTTCAGGTGCCAACATGCTCAGTCCTCTTCGAGCCAGCCTCTCGGCATTGATCACCCCTTGCTCGTGCCCTGCTCCCTGCCCCTCCCACCCCTGTGCCCGCCTGTGGGGTCCCCGCCCTGAGACGGAGCAAGATCCACCAGCCCGCCTACACCCCCCCTCCCCCCCCCGGGCCCCCCCCCACGCGCTCCTCCCCCGTCCTCACTGCTGGCAGGACTTGTCTGCGGTCCCTTGGCTCCTGACCTGGGTTCTGGCCAGAGTTGTCTAGGGCGGCGCTTCCTAAATTCTCTGTGGTGAAGGATGGTTTTATTTGTTTTGTTTTGTTTTGAATTTCCAATCTGTTGCAGACTGATAGTTTTACGAAAGACAATAAAAATGTCACAGCAAAGTCAGATTGCTATAAAAGTTTCTAAACACTTACTCTCAATTTCTGTACTTGTCTCACTGTGTACCAGCCACGGTGTGTGAGTTGGCACCAGTCCGTGGAGCCCACGCTGAACAGAACGGGTCTGGACAGCATGTGCCTCTTTAATAAGTTGGCGGGAAGATGCTCACTGGGGCCCCAGGGCCACGGGCAGATCCGCCAGAAGTTAGGGGAAGTGAAGGACTTACTTTATAACATTATACAAACCAGAGACAGACGGGGCTCCCTTCTTCGCCCACAAAACTTCACATTCTTACATGGTAAAGGCCATAATTTCCTGGGAGGGAGACATGAAAAATTATTTCCATGGTGACTGGCTGTCCCCAAATGGTGAAAACCCTGTGACAGGCACATCATGCATGGAATGGCAGGGCTGCCCCTGCCAACTGGGGCTGTAGCTGCCACTGTTTCCGCCCCAGTATAGGCCAAATCAGGGTGTGCAGCAGTGCACTTCCGGGGGCAAGGGGACAACAGCCAGGATGGTGGCGTTCTACGCTGCAGTGTGAGCCGCGTCCCCAGGTCGCTGCTGTCACAGGGACCTTGCGGTCCTGCCCTTCCTGTCCCCCTCAGTCATGCCCAGAAGTGCTCCGCCCGCCACTTCCAGACAAGCTTCCAGAACCATTCAGGAGCTATGATTACTTCTAAAACTTGAGAAAAGTACTGCTTTCATCCTTGGGAAGTGGAAATAAGAATTTGACTTTAAAAAAAATACCTTTTCCCTGTTTTGCATTTTTTCCAAAATGAGCACATCTGAGGGGTGGGGAGTAAGTTTTTTAAAACAGCAATTATCAAAAGAATTCCTGCGCAAAGGAACCCAAATATGCACCTTCCACGTCTTTTAACTCTTTTTTTTAAAATGCTAACTGAGAATCAATTTGTCAAACAGTATCTCAGCTTCTAGGTAACAGAGTAATGAATCAAAAGGACACTGCATCTCATCTTGTGGTGAAAAGTCCGAATGCTTTGGAACATTCCAGGAGCTGTCCTCAGAGCCTTCCCCTCTGGCATCCCCAGCCATCAGCAAGGCCCTTTCCACCACCTCCTTCAGGTCTCTGCTCAAATGTCACCATCTCAATGCGGTTTTTCCCGACCACATTATTAAAAGCCCCAGCTGCCCCTTCCCTGCTTCAGTTTTTCCGTGGCATTTATCATCATCCGACACACCCTCTGCTACTAATAAGCATATTTAAGGCATCTCATCCCTGCCCCATCCCACTGGACCAGAAGCCCTGTGAGGACAGGGACTTCTGTCCTTTTGTCCCCTGCTGTGTGCCTGCTACATGGTGGGTACTCGGTAAATGCTTGTCGAACAGACGAATCCAGGTGGCAGCTCCCCGTGCAGACGAGAAGGTCGGGGGGAGGGCGACGGGCAGGTGCGGTCCAAGCAGAGGCAGGACGTGATGCCGTATCGTCCACACCACCAACCACATCCTTCCCACTGCCTGCTTCTCGCCTCGGTTGCCAGCACCGGCAACCCCAAGCGCCCGTCCGAGGCCGGCGCGGTTTTGTCATCTCCTTTCTCCTCCGCAGGAGCAGGCCATAGAGGTCCTCACCCGCTCCAGCCTGGAAGTTGAGTTGGCCGCCAAAGAGCGGGAGATCGCGCAGCTGGTGGAGGACGTGCAGAGACTCCAGGCCAGCCTCACGAAGCTGCGCGAGAACTCGGCCAGCCAGATCTCCCAGCTCGAGCAGCAGCTGAGTGCCAAGAACAGCACCCTCAAAGTAAGGGCGCCGGGGGCCCCAGGGGCCGGGGGAGGGCCGCACGCGCACACCCCACCTCCCTCCCACGTGGCCCCGGAAGGAGCCCGGGCTCGGCACGGGGGGTCCGGCTCCCCGCCGACACCCCGAGCTCTTCAGCGGGGCACTTCGGCCCCCAGTGTAGTGACCACGGCAGGGGGGTCTCGCCTCAAAGCCAACTAACTCATTTGCCCCACCGTAGCCGTTGCACACATGGATCTCGTTTTTGTTGTCTGCAAAGGTCATGGTTAAAACTCCTTCTCTTTTGAAAGCAGAAGTGACTGTTGGGGTTTATCTCAGGTGAGCTGCAGCCATCAGCCAAGTCTTTCCCTCCAGTGAGACCAGTATAAGGAGGCGTGAGGTCCCCTGGACACGTCACTCAGAAGCTCCATCAGGGCTCTTGTGCTGGAGAACACCTTGTCCTGACTGACAGCAGGCATGGCAGCCTTGACCTCTGTGAGGCAGCCAGAAGCAGAGCCCTGAAGCCCAAGGCAGCGAGGCGGGATGGGCCTTGACCCCTCCCGTCAGCCCTGCCCAGGCGGCACGTCCCTCCTGGTCCGCTGTCCTCGCACGCAGCCCGTCGTAGAAGCCCCGACCCTAGGTGCCCACCTGCCCACAGCACACCGCCTGGGCTGGAGTGCCGTCGGGGCGCAGGCCATCCGCAGACGCGTTAGTGCAGCTCTGCCGGCCTTCCCTGGCTCCTGGAGAAGGTGCCAGCGGGAGGACCCAGCACACCGAGACCCCAGCCCGCCCTGTGCCCCAACAACATGAAAGCCAGGGGTTCGTGGAGGGCACATCTGCACCGAGCCCCGTGGGCCCTGTTCCCCACCTGCAGGGATGGTTTTGACCCTCAGGCCTGTGCCAGGCGCCGGGGCCCGGAGCGTGGTGTTGCTTCAGCACGGGGAGCTCCCACCATCAGCCGCTGGTCTCCCTCCGGCGTCTTTAGCAGTCTAGCCGAAAGCTAGATCCTCTAGGGGCTTCTCGTAAATTGGTGTCCCACATTCAGAACCCAGAACCTTTTACGTTATATTTTTTTAATTACACTTTATTTAAGGTATTCCCAATCTGTTGAAGTTAGCATAATGTGGAGATAGTCGTGGCACCCCAGATTCACACGTCAGAGCCAGCAGGGACTCCTCGGTGGTATCTTATTTGACAGGGAAGAGACAGGACCGGCGAGGGCGCGGCATCGGCTCTGCCGTCCCCGCTCCACCGGGCCCCCCCCCCCCGCCCCCGCTCAGCGCCCATTCGAGGCGGGTGTGAATGGATAAGTGACCGACTGCCAGTTGTAGTCTCTGTGCTCTAAAGAAAGTGGATCAGAGTTGGTTGTAAAAATGTCAGGAAAACTTTTTCTTATGTAAGGTAATTCCAGAATGTGGTTAGGCCCATTTTGATTTTCTTTTTTTAGTTGAGATTTTTTTTTTTCCTCCACGCATGACCATGTTTCTGAGGCAGAACTCAGGCTCCAGCAAGTCTTGTCCTCCCGGCAGCCCCCTGGCCTGGCCTCGCTGGCGCCGGGGCACCCACAGCTCAGCCTCACTAGATCCTTCTCTGCCTCTTTGGGTGGATTTCATCCACTGTCTGAGAAACTGCCGGGTGCCCGGGCCCCGCGGAGGAGACGGTCCTGCCGGGATGGGGAGATGCTTGAGGCCCGGTCACACTGAGGCTCTCATCAGCCTGCCCACTGAGCACCAGTACTCACTTATTATTTCCAGATTCAGTGTCATTTCCTCGCGTTATAGCCATTTCTGACCCCAGCAGTGGCCCTGCTATTGGATAATTGGCCTTCCCCTCCTTTGTTACAGTTAAAGGCTTCGACTCAAGTACATGATGCGTTTGACTACATGAGAGGGAGGCTGTAGGCCTTACGTTTTTTATTACAGAGCAATTTCTTCTAAATCAGTTAAGGTTTTAATGTTTGCCTTCACCAAAAATGAAACGCAGTTTCACAAATTAATGTTCTTTATCTGTATCTTAGGGGAATTCTTTAATACTGTGCAGTTAATGAAACAATTCGGCAATACTTCTTCCAAAATTATTACTCCCTTATCTTCATCTGATCTAATAATCAAAACATGTCCTCTAGTAACAAGACTTCTCTGATTTTAATTATCTTAACCCCTTGTCGCCAGGAGTGAAGCTCTCCCTGATATCGAACCCACACGCAGAAGGTATCCGCCTTCCCCAGACGGGCCCGTCAGCCTCCCTCGCCCAAGGGAATAAGGTTAATTGAATGAGATACTTCCCTGGGCTTTTTTTTTCTCCTAACGTGTATAATTTATAGTCTCAAATCTAAACTAAGCAGTGAAACAATTACTAGAAAAATATTTTATGAATGAGACCTGTCAAATCGACCACCTGATGCTTCTGTGGCGGGGGTCTGGGGCCCAGCCGTGGTGGCCGCTGGACGCAGCCGGGAGCCGCCCCCGAGCTTCCCATTTCCTCCTCCTCCCGCTTCCAACCCCCAACACCCCGTCTTTTCCATCTTGGACGGTGCTGTCCAGCTTTGTGGGCTCGGGTTGGGATCTACGTCTGAAGATGCTCCAGCTGTCTCTCCGCATCCTGGCGTGGTGGGTGGTTTCACCATGGACGCTGACCATGACCTCCGAGAGAAATGCTAATGTGCTTGATGACGGTGACTGAAGGGATGAGGGGCACTGGTCTCACAAGGGCAGGAGGCGTAACGGACAAGTCTTTTTTTTTTTTTTTTTTTTTGGCCATGCCGTGTGGCACGCAGGATCCCGGCCAGGGATCGAACCTGCGCCCGCTCCCAGTGGAAGAGCGGCGTCTCAACCACTGGACCGCCAGGGAAGTCCCACGGACAAGTCTTGAGATTATGGAGTCTTGAGCTGACTGGGGGTCTCCTCCACCAGGACCCCCTGGGGGTGCACTCTGTAATGGAACACGTTTGGGGACTAAGTGGTTTGCTTTTCCGAGCACCTTGAAACACTCCCTCTCTTTGCGACGAATGCTTTCTTCCCTTCGCCTTCGTAACTGGTTGATAATTATGAGGATAAATTGCCAGTTGGATGTTTCCCAGTCTCTCTCCCCATACTCTGCTTTTTCAAGCCAAGTTCACCATCACTAGCCGCATACAGCGGTGCATCCTCTAACCTTCAAATAGACATGAAAACCAGCTCAGAAGTGGGAGCTGTTTCCTCCCGCCTGATCTGACAAGTACTGCAGCACCGTGCCGCTTGTCGAGGATAATCCTGTGTTCATAATTAGTGAAATAACGCGACTGCCATTGCGAGGCTGCTGCTTTTGATGACACTATTCTGGGGCCTTCTGTTGGAACGCTTCAGTACAGAGGCGGTGTGACGCGGCAGTCACCTGCGTTCTACTCGCTAGGGCACAGGAGACAGTGCTACCAATAGCTCAGGTGTAAGATGGGGGTTTGTAAGGACTGACTGAGGCCCATCTCCCCTAGGGAGAAATGATATTTTCTGCAGTTGCTTTAAAGATCAGTACTTCTCACTGATCAGTACTTCTCACTGGGCGGGTGGGCGGGTGGGCAGGTGGGCAGGTGTGCTCCATTCACCTGGGGGCCTTTTTCCGAACTGCACAAGCCTCCCCAACCCTCCGCACCCCTCACGCCACCTCCCGAGGTTCCGATGGGTCCTTCTGAGCCACTGCGGGGCACACTGTGTCCCTCGCGGGGTGGAGACAGGACCAAAGACCGACAACCACTTCTCTGCACTCGTTCAGCGCCTTTAATTCTGGACGCTGCCTCTTTGGTTACATAAGTTCCCTCACCGGCCGTGTGTTTCCTCTGCACCGGGGCTGCCCTTGACCGCGTTTTAATGAGCATCTCATCATCGTCTCAGTGTGTGAAGCTCCGACATCCACGTTCCGTTGGTCGCTTGCCGCGGGTGGGCATGATGATAATCGCTGTCTCGGGGAGGGGGTGCCAGCCAGCCCGTGGCTGTAGCGGGGAGGCCTGTGTGTCCTTCCATGGCCCCTGCCCTCCCTGGACGGCACGAGTGAGTTTTAACGTCACACGTCCCGGTATCAGAGAGCCCGGGAGCCGAGCCTCCCTGAGCCTCGTCCTGGCTGCATCTTGAAGGCACTGTGAGCACAGATTGAAGGAAGCCATCTGTGCAATTGAAGGAAGCAGTGAGCCTTCCACGGGGAGGAGGGGGGTGAAGGGGGCCCCGGGAAGGGCGGCAGCAGCGGAGATGCCCCAGAGGGAAGAAACCGAGGGCCTCTTCCCTCTGGGGCATCGTGCTAGAGGCCTCAAGACCAGTTATCTGCATTGAGGTCACAAGTAAATCGCTGCAAACCGGTGGGCATTACTGGAAATGCTTCAGGGAGCTAATTGTGGGAACCTACGGTGAATCCTCTTAGACACACGTGCCCCTGGTCGCTGGGTGAGTAAATCTAGATACTCACCTGCAGGTGATCCCCAGCTCGTGGCCCACTTAGCCAACCATACAGTGTCCAAGTAGCTGAAATACTGAGCCAGGACCTTCCTGGACGATGGTGGCACGATTCCGTGAGAAGGAGCTGCTCCCGTCCACCCTGTGCCTGGGTCACAGTTCATGGAGGCTGGAGGTGACTTGTGATGGGGTTGCCACACAGGGGTCCCCCTTGTGTCTCCAGAGCCACGCTTCTCCAGCTGGCAGCAAGGCCTCCAATGTCGTGGTCGCTCTCCCCACCCCCTGGCCTGGGGGCGGGGGGGTCTCCCCTTTTTGTCTTGCATTCTCAGCCTCCCCGTAGTGCACGCACAGCGCCCACCTTGGGCGTCCCTGGGCTTCTCCCCCAGGCCAGCCTCAGCAGATCCTAAATTTACGTAACTGCCACCTCTCACCAAGGAACAGTGGAGACCTGAGGGGGTCCCCGTTCAGGTGCAAAGGAGGGGCACGCTGCCTAGTTCCAGACCCCAGAGAGGCAGAGTCAACCTCGGACCCCTGCCCGGACCAGGGAGCCCAGTCACACCCGCTGGGTTCTGACTGGTGGCCCCTCAGCCCCGGGGTCCACGTCAGGGTGAGGGGTCACACACCGATGCCCCTAACCTGAGCTGTGGGTCTTCAGACAGCACTGCCGAAAGCCTGGCTCCGAGTATCCCAGAGGAAGAAGACAGAGCTGCCTGTAAACCGCAACAGTCGCCTCTCCGGCCCCGTCCGTTGTGTGGCAAAGGCGTGTTGCTACCTTGACCCCTTGCTGTGCAACCCGGAGGACGAGGTCTTTCGAGGGTCTTTGCATTAGTCTCTGTGCCAGAGGTCCCTTAAGTTGGTAGCCCTAGGCCCCATGTTATAACTTGACTAAGATATCTTTTATAAATTCAGTACCTAATTTGCTGCACACCAAAATGCTTTGCATTTTAAATTAAATTACCTCATTATTTGAGTCTTAGCCAGGATTTTAAGAACTTCAGATAGGTAATGCTTCTAGCAATTCGAGAGCCATTTGAGGAGCTCCTGCTAAGTCTGGAACCACATACGTGCTCTGTAGTAGTAAACGTGTGTGATTAACGTATCATAAAACCACCGTGTTTGAGGGGTGCTGGCAGCCTGCACTTGTGCATCCGACATTTCCTCACCACTGTCCTCTGGAAACCCTTCTTCTTACTCTTCCCCCCTTCCCATATGAGGAGCGTGGGGCCCGACAGCCTAAGCCCGTCACCCAGGGTCACAGCAAAGTGGGACTGAGCTCGAAGCCCAGCTCCGCCCTAGACCTTTCCTCCCCTCTCTATACAAGGTCAGAGTGGGTTCCTTTACAAGAGCCCCTTTTCAGGAAGGCGACCCGCCTGCCGGATTCTGCATTCATGGCGCAGGATGTGGGGCTGCCTTTCCTGCCATCGGCATCAGACAGCCAGAGCTGCTCTGGGCCTCCGTCCTCCTCCATGGATCTGCCAAAGAGCCGCAGGGACGCTCGGAGGTGGCAGACTGGGCTGTGGAGAACGTCGTAAATGGAGCGCCTGGATCGAGGACCACAGAGTGTCTTCAGAACCCTTTCGTCGTATCCAGTACCACCCACCAGGGATAAAGTAGTCATAACTACAGTAGTAACAGTCACCATCGTTACTGAGTGCTTTACCACAGGCTGAGCACTCAGTATTGCAGTTGGGGCTCTTGTCTCTGCACGTTCCACATCCACGGACTCGGAGGGCCGAGTGCCCTGCGCCATTCTGTGTAAGGGGCTAGAGCATCTGCAGACTTGGTACCACAGGGGTCCTGGAGCCAGATCCGCCTCGCTGCTTCCTGCACTTGCCCTGGGCAGCCTCGGGCTCTGCCACGGCCTTTGGTGCAGACCCCCTGTGGGTTTTTTTTTTCTTTGTTTCTCTGGACGGACAGACAGATGCTCTGCAGACGTGTCGCGATAACTGGATAAGATGACACGTGAGGTGCGGAGCCGGGCCTGGGATCTAGGAGCACCTGCTGCCCTTTCCGGGCAGGAGCCCCTGAAACCAGACGTTACGGGCGCCCAGCAAGGAGTTTCTGGCCAAAGAACAGAGCTGAGGGCACTTGGGCTCTTGCCTGTGTGGGCCCACGCCGCCTGCCTCCTGCCCCGGCCCACCCCCAGCCTGCCGCCACACGCGGGGTCCTGAGACGGCGCTCCGCTGGGAGCTCGGTGGGGACGGGCTTTGTGAGGCGCCCCCCGCCAGGCCCCCGTCCAGGTGTCTGCTCCACAGAGGTTTGCGGCCGCCATCTTGGTTTCTTCCTGACTACGCTGCCCCCCAAGGCAGATGGCAGAAATTTCAGTGGAAGCTGTTTGGTTCTCAGTGAAAACTCATATTTAACCAGACAGATTCCAGCCCGAAAACCTTCTGATCTGGGCTGATCAAAGGCCTGCAGCCGTGCTCTCAGGGAACCCGCAGCAGGACCTGGCAGCGACAGTGGTCCCGCATCGAAGGCCCCTCGGCGCCAGCATCTGCACCGGCTCCTTGTCTCGTGCCCCTTCGCTCAGTACTCGGAGGTCACCGGTTTTCCCGTCTCACAGATGAGCCGCTGATTGACGTGCCCAAAGGGCCCGGCTCGTGAGTGACAGAGCTGACTCCAGGTTCTGGGCCGTGCCAGGTCCAGAAGCTTCGTGTCTGCCGTTCTTCCTGCCCGTCTCCTGTTCTCTGAACGTGACCACTTTTTATGCGTGCTCCGCGTGCAGCGTCAGTGAGTCCCACCCTCCGAAGGTGCTTTGCGTCCCGGCAGCGCTGGGCAATCTTGTGTTAGGAAAGGCTTCCCACTCTCCGACCACAGGGAGGAGAATGAAAGAATCGTGTCTTCATGAGCACCTTCTCAGCATCTTTTGTCGGAAAATGAGTGCATGCTACCCTGTTTGATTATGAGGAGAAACCATTGTAATACAGGCAAGAGGTCTTAAAAAGGAACTAGGGCAGAGCAATTCTACACAATGGGAAATACACACACAAGAAACCGCCAGCAAAGGCAAAAGGAAAAGACGGGCTAGATGGGGCCACGTGGGATTCAGGTGGGACTCTTCTCCCCAAATTCTAGAATGTTCTCAGCTGGCTTTAAACTGTGATCATAGACGTGGCTGGTCAAGTAGAGCCTAAAAAGGTAACTAGAAGCCCTGGCGATGGGAAGGGCCTGTTGATTCAAGAATTGGAATTTGTTGGCGTGGAAAGATGCTAAAGGGTCAGGACCCCCTGCTGGCTGAGTCTTTGCGCGTTTTATGTCAAGCTGTCTTCCTTCCCACAAAGAACTCCTTTGGTGGAGGGGGGAAGGGCAAAAACAAACTAGGCCAAAAGCACCTTCAGAGAAGGAGGCACCCTCTGCCGACCACTCTACAGCAAAGGCTCTTCCTGGCAAGAAGGCCCCGCAGGGCTCCGGGCACAAACAGCCACGTGGGTACCACGTGAGCTCACAGAGGTGAATGGAGCACAGCGGAGCATCACCGCACCTGGGAAGCTTGCCAGAGGGCCCCTGACCTTCCCTCTGAAGGGCATTCTAGGGCCAGGGAGTCAGCCATGCCCAGCCGTGGCCCTGCTGGCCAGGGTGCCCTGCCAGGGCCCTCCCTGCAGGACCATCTGTCGGAGAAAGCAGTGACCACCCAGCGGACCGGCCTCCGCTGCTAAAATCCCCCGCGTCTGGGGGGACCCCTCCAGAAATACAAACGCATTTTCCCTGGTGCCTATCTGATGCTGACCTCAGTGACAAAAGGGCCGTATCTCTTATCAGCAGGGTCCCACCAAAGGTGTTGATGACTAACCGTACGTGTCAGCTGGCCTCACGTAGTTTGTGAAAAGCCACACGGAGAGCGTCTCTTCATCCTGTTGGCCATTTTGTGGGATTTCATACAAAATGGCCTTTTCGTTGTTCGGTTTTCCACTTCTGTAAAGCTTTTTCCTTCTACTTTCATTGGGGTTTATGTTAGAACCTTATGGTTGCCGTGTGTGTGTGTGTGTGTGTGTGTGTGTGTGTGTGTGTGTGTGTGGTGTGCACGCACACCTGTGCCCACTCAACATCAGGCAACGAGCAAAGGACAAGGGACGACTCCACAGTTGTCACCTTTCACCGTGCACGTCTGGGCTCCCTCGGGGCTGCTGGATGCTTTACAGGGGACGTAGTCAGTGAAGGGTCTTAGCCCGTTGGGGCTGCCATGACGGGATACCAGAGACCAGGTGATGTAAACAGCAGACACTTCTGTTTCCCACAGTTCTGAAGCTGGAAGTCCAAGATGAGGCTCCAGCATTTTCTGTGTACGTTGAGGGCTCCCTTCTTGGTTCACAGATGGCCGTCTTCCCGCTGTGTCCTCACATGGCCCCGAGAGGGGCCTCTCGGGGGTCTCTTTTAAGTTATTAATTCCAGTCATGACCTCGACACCTCCCAATAGCGCCACCTCCTGATGCCATCACCGTGTTGGGGGTTAGGATCTCAACATTTGAATTTGTGGGGACACCACATTCAGTCCGTGGCAAAGCCCATCAGCCTTCTTCAGACACGACCACTAATAAAATCCTCTCTGTTTTCAGCAACTGGAAGAAAAACTCAAAGGACAGGCTGACTATGAAGAGGTGAAGAAAGAGCTAAAGTAAGTTTGGAGATGCAGCTCGGCCATTCACGAGCCAGGGCTCGTTGGGGACACGTGCTAAGGAAACACCGTGTCAGCGAGGGGGCAGCTGCGGGGCCCCTGGCTCAGGCTCCACCACTGGGCCACATCCGGGGCTACTCGCCGTGGCGGGTGTTTGCACTCAGGCCTGTGCCTGAATTCTTTGGACTTTTTATGGAACTCTGTGCATAAAAATTGCCAATCTGCACGGAATCAGGGGAGATACTGCCTTTGTAGGAAATATAAAATACGAGCTTACTTTTTAGCTGTAAGTCCCCCAAACAGAAGGAGAGCAGAGCAAGGAAACATTTTCCAGTTGAGGCCTCACGCCTCCCTGGCTTAAACTATGGGACTTTGATCCCCCGGCCTCCACCCGAGAGGCAGCAGCTGAAAGCTTGTCACCCTTTGGAGCTGATGCTCACTTTCCCACGCTTAGAAGCTCCCTCCTCGGGCCCCGGCGCCCAGCTTGACCCTCCCGCCTCAAACTCCTTCCCCTGAGCTGCCCTTGGCCCGCCTAGAGCTCACGGGCAGTGCCCTGACAGTGCACACGGCCGCCCCTTGCCCTCCCTCGCCTCGAAGAGTTTCACCCGAGCTGCCCCCTCCTCCCCAGCCAGGTTGGCAAACACTGCAGAGGGGTCCTTGGGCCTGGGTCCCTGCAGGCTCCGGGCCTCTCCCCTGCTGCTGGCCGCCTCTGCTTCCCAGGGGCCTTGCCACGCCCTCGGCATACCCTTCTGCCCCCAGCTGCACCCCGACCCCTCAGCAGACCCCCCAGTGCTCTGCCTGACGGAGGGGACAGACGCCCGCGGCTCCCGGAGCCCCTGCCTCGAAACGACTCCTCTGGTCTCGGCTTCTCCCTCCTGTCTCTCCAGGCTGACCCCGCCACGCTGGTCCCTTCCTTCCTACTCCTCCCATCAGCTCGTTTCGCTCTTGCTGACATTTTTAATTTCTCCTTTTAAAATAAGCTACACCCACTCCCCATGCTGTTCTTCGGATTCTTAATTCCATTCCCTCGGGTTTGCTAAAAAAGCCCACGTGAAGGCCTCTTCGACCTTCTCGCCCCCTGCGTCAGCAGCCTCCTCCCTGGCGGGGTGACTCCCGGGGGCTCCACTCACTTCTCTCCCCGAGCATCCTCACCCCCGTGACACAGCGGGCCTCTGCACGCCTCCTTGGACACCCCCTCAACTCTCTGCAGGTCCAGCTTCTTTGAGCTCTGTCCTCTCCCCCACCGCATTTCCGGGAGGTATATTTTTTACTTCTCTACCCGCCTCCTCATCCCTTTCCCTCTTCTTCCCGCCTCAAAAGAAAAAAAAAGGGCTTCCCTGGTGGCGCAGTGGTTGAGAGTCCGCCTGCCAGTGCAGGGGACACAGGTTCGTGCCCCGGTCCAGGAAGATCCCATATGCCGCGGAGTGACTGGGCCCGTGAGCCATGGCCGCTGGGCCTGCACGTCCGGAGCCTGTGCTCTGCAACGGGAGAGGCCACAACAGTGAGAAGCCCGCGTACCGCAAAAAAAAACGAAAACAAAAACAATGTGTGCCCTCCCTAGTGTTGAATCGAAAAAACTGACTTGAAGGCCTTCTCCCGAGCCCCCGCCCTTCCCAGGCTGAGGCTAGGCCCACACCCTCTCCTCTGAGCTCACCTCTCTCACCGAGAACCAAGGCTTCTTGGCCCCAGGCTGCTCCCTCCCAGGTGCGCCTGCCCGGCCACTCGCCGGCCCTCACCCTCTCCCAGGACAGCCTCCCATATTCCTGCCAGCGCTTCTGCTACATCTGCCCAACACGGCCCCAGCGCAGCCCCATTCAGGTGGCTCTTCTGCTAGAAGGTGCCCTGGCTTCCCAGTTCCTGGTGATCCACACGCCCTCTGGATGCACGCCAGCGCCCGTTCCATCCCATCTCTTCCCGTGAGGTCCCCACCGTGCCCCACCCCAGGAGTCTGTAAAGCATTTTGCTCCTTCAAGGCCCTTCACAAACACTGACATCTCATGAGACACACCCGTCTCCTGCCCGGGTTTTCTCCCGCTGGTGCTGTTTGGATTTTGTCTTCCACCCAGAATCACTGTAGGGTCCCTGAGGATGAGAAGTGGTTCTGAGTCTGCATAGCGCCAGGCACGTAGTAGGCTGTCGGTAAACTTGGTGAATAAATGAAGAGAGGGCTTCCCTGGTGGCGCAGTGGTTGAGAGTCCGCCTGCCGATGCAGGGGACACAGGTTCATGCCCCGGTCCGGGAAGATCCCACATGCCGCGGAGCGGCTGGGCCCGTGAGCCATGGCCACTGAGCCTGCGCGTCTGGAGCCTGTGCTCCGCCGCGGGAGAGGCCACAACAGTGAGAGGCCCGCGTACCGCAAAAAAATAAATAAATGAAGAGACACTGATGTTTTCAGTATAAATTCAGACGCACTTAGTCTTTTCTCACATGATCCTAGAGAGGCCCTCAGACAAGAATATAGCTGCAAACAATGTGACAGCCACAAAGAAAAGACAGGCTTGTCCAGACTGCTCGCCTCTTCTCTCCTGGCTGATGCAGTGCGGCCCGAGGCTCTTATGATTCTCGGTAGCAGCTCATCATAAAACAGAATTATGAGCTCCTCGTTCCCGTTTTGTTAGTTTACACGACAGGGGCCACTACAAAGATACAACCACGGGGGAGCTACGAGCGGTCGGCTCCTCACTGAACCTCCCGGGGGCCGTGGCACAGAGAGCCCCCTGGGCCCTGGGCACGCTCTGCTCTCCGGATGGCACTGCCGTTGATCTTGTAGAAGGGCCGAGGCTAGAGTCCCAGCTGGGAGAGTGCAGGAGGCCCGGTGCCCGGGATGGAAGCTGCCCACTTTCTCACCTTCCCGCCTCGAGCGTGAGGGGAGCGCCTGGGCTCCTTGGGGCCACGTGGACCCACAGGAAGAAAGGAGTGTCCACGTGTGCGGAACGCTGTGAACAGCAGTCCTGGGCACCCGCGCTCACTCAGCTCTCGGACTTGTTGACACAGGCCGAGACCGGAGCAGTTTCCATGGTAAGGAGAACAAAGGAGACGTAAGCCCTCGCGCCCACACCGTGGCAGTGGCTCCTTCCCCAGCCGGGGCTGCAGACGGTCCGCTGCCGCCTCTGAGCCACCCAGCGGTGGGACCTCGCTCCTGGCCCATCCCCGGGCGGCAGCGGCCAGGGGCATCGGTTCCTCTCCCCGGCTTCCTCGTTACAGCTTTTTCAGCCCTTCTCAGCTTTACAAATACATTCCACTTGCAGCAGTGTTACGTCTGCGTTCAACTTAACTTTAAAATTATACTCTGAACAGACCTGGTGTGATTCCATATGGAATGATTTACATGCTGGGCAAGAAACTTTCGCTGGCCAACTGCTAGTCGAATAGTTATTCCAGAGACGCTATCAGATGATAAAGCTGCCAGGGAAGTTGTTAAAGTTGTCAGCTCCTCGGTTCCTGGAGAGCAGGAAGCGGTGACGTGGCCGCTCGTTAGCGCGGCTGCCCCCAAAGGTCCGAGCAGGGCTAACGGCTCTGTCTTGCTCTCCGCAGCATCCTGAAGTCCATGGAGTTTGCTCCGGCCGAGGGAGCTGGGACGCAGGTACATGGTCTCCCTTTGCTTTCCGTGTGCGTGAGCATCCGCGTCACTGCTTCACCGTCGCGGTGTTTCTCCTCAAGGATATTTCGCCAAGTTAAAGCAAATTATCTTAAAAGGGGCAAGAAGAGAAAAGTTAGTGTCTTTGAAACTGGTAACCGCGTTCACGTGAAATTGCAATTTAACTTGGGCAGGTCCTGAGAACGTGGGTACAAACGATTTCAGGTTGTGTTAAACGAGCAGCCCCAAGTGGACTGACTTAGGAATTTTTATTATCTACTGCCTCACGTGGACGAGAAACGGGCAAGATGACAATGGCGCACGGTAACCCAGCGGCCAATTAAAATTTTCAGTCATCACGCGGAAGCCCGCTCCCGATGCCCAGAAGGCAGCCTCTGACTCTTGGTGGCTGGCGCCCAAAAGCGATCCCCTTTGCAGGCCTTCCTGACAGGGCTGTGGCTCCCTTGCCTAACAAGGCATAGGTCTAGATGCGCGGATTTGGGTACAGAAGAGGGAACAATGAGCTGTCTGGAGGCTGTGTGAGCCTAGAAAGAGAGAAATTACTTCAGCCGGAATGAGTTATCTCAGAAAGGAACTCGAGTGTTCTCCACGTGCGTGGAGCATCTTCGGGGAGAGGGTGGGGGGTGGTCAGGTCAGAGCCGGGATCCTGGGGGTCCGGCAGCCCCGCAGTGAGCCCCGCTCTGCCCCGTCTAGGACTCATCCAGGCCCCTGGAGGTACTCCTGCTGGAGAAGAACCGCTCGCTGCAGTCCGAGAACGCCGCGCTGCGCATCTCCAACAGCGACCTGAGTGGTAGGTTGACAGGGTCTCGCGTCCGCTTGGCCCCTCCCGGGGTCGAGGAAGAAGAAGACGAACCGTGAGTCTGGGCCGATGCATGGCGGGCGTCACCGGGCGATGAGAACCTTGACTAACGAGTGTCCGTCTCCTCCTCACCCCCCACCCGCCCCCACCCGCTCCGAGACGGTCCAGGCGAGGCGCGAGGCCGCAGGGCGTCTGCGGAGCGCAGGCAGGGCCGTGCTGCGGGAGAGCCCACGCGGGCGCTCGCTCGCGGACGGTGGCTTTTCTGGTCTCTTCTTGGTTGTGCGGCCTCTCCCGTGGTGTTTCCGGGGCTGCTTCCAGGGCCAGGCCCTGCCCTTCCCGGCTCAGTGGAGCTTTTCTTCCTTTGTCAGGTTTTCCTTGGGAACGCCTCCCCCATCCTTAGCCTTTCTTTGCTCGTCCCGAAGTGGTGGCGTCACTGACTGCTTCGGGTTTGGCAGCTGGTAAAGCGTTTAAGAGTGTCTCGGGCTCCGATGATATTTCATTCTTAAAATGTGCGTGCCTTCGATCGAGCGGACTCGGTGCGGTGCGTTCGCCTCACAGCAAGTGGTGTGAGAATCCGTTGGTCCCAAAATGTCAGTGTTTGCTGCTCCTCAGGTGGGGCCCTTCTGGTTATAGCTCAAATGCTAGAGGCCCGATGAGAGGCCCGCGACCTGCCGACTCTTTACTGTGTGTGGTACCGGCTCCTTGTCACGTTAGGAGTTTGAGTCTATGTCAAGGGGAACTCTCCAGGCTGCAACGTACAAGAAAGGTGCAAACATGAAATGCATGTTGCTTGTTTCCGGGGGGCCTCGTTTGGCTAATTTAAAAATTCAATTGAAAAACAAACCAACACACCTCATTGGCCCTTGTTAAAAAAAAAAATCTGCACTTTTTTTTTTTCCCTTTTGCGGGGCAAACTTTGCATCCTGGTCTTGGTTTTTTTTCCCTTTTGAATCCCCCATAATGCATTATGTTTGCCCTTCCTTGTAGGGTCAGCCAGGAGAAAAGGGAAAGACCAGCCTGAGAGTCGGCGTCCTGGACCTTTGCCGGCCTCCCCTCCTTCTCAGTTGCCCCGCAACACGGGGGAGCAGGCTTCCAATACTAATGGTACACACCAGTTCTCACCAGCGGGGTTAACGCAAGACTTTTTCAGCTCATCCCTGGCAAGCCCCAGCCTGCCCCTGGCTTCTACGGGAAAATTTGCACTAAACTCTCTCCTCCAACGACAGCTAATGCAGTCCTTCTACTCCAAGGCCATGCAGGAAGCAGGAAGCACAAGCATGATTTTTTCAACAGGTCCATACAGCACAAACTCCATATCTTCCCAAAGTCCATTACAACAAAGCCCAGATGTAAATGGCATGGCCCCGTCTCCCAGCCAGTCAGAAAGTGCTGGGAGCGTCTCCGAGGGCGAGGAGATGGACACTGCAGAAATCGCCCGGCAGGTGAAAGAGCAGCTCATCAAGCACAACATCGGGCAGCGCATTTTCGGACACTACGTCCTGGGACTGTCCCAAGGGTCCGTGAGCGAGATTCTGGCCCGGCCCAAGCCGTGGAATAAACTGACGGTGCGCGGCAAGGAGCCGTTTCACAAGATGAAGCAGTTCCTCTCGGACGAGCAGAACATCCTGGCTCTTCGCAGCATCCAAGGCAGACAAAGAGGTGAGAGACTCATGGGTTGGTGCCCATGCGTGAGCCCGTCATGGAGAGGTGTGTGTGTGTGTGTGTGTGTGTGTGTGAGATGAGACATCTGTTGTGCATCACACATCAGGTACAGCTCTCAGTCCTGCCATTGCCGGAGCTCAGGGCCGAGGGGCATGAGCTAAGGCTGTTAGACTTGGGGGGGGGGGGGTCTGGCCTCTGAAAATCGTTCAGCACCTCACGCGTAGTAGACTCGCTATTTCAGTACTACGTACTGAGTCGGAGGGAATTACCTCACGCTCGACGTTCTGATGCGTTTCGTGTCCAGCGATCCTTCCGGCCTTAGGTGCCGGCCTCACGTGGGGAGGGGCCCGTGGGTACCACCCGGCCCTAGAGCAGCAGCATTGGCCGGGGGCGGTCCTCACGCAACGCTGGGTCCACGCGGAGGGCAAGCCGACCACGTGCGCCCCCCTCCTCCCTCCGCACCAGCGGGAGCGAGGCCCACGGTCACAGTCCCCGTGTTTACGTCCCGCTAGCGATCTGTCTAGCGTTACCGGCGAAACATGCCTGCCTTGAGTAAAATACATGAAAGTTGCATTAAAACACGCTTCCTACCCCCCGCCCCGCCCATAAAAAGGTAAAAAGTCCGTCCAGTCCCTAACTGCCAGAACTCCTTCCCTCTTTAACGACAGGGGATCCTTCTGCTAAGTCAGCAGCAATAGAGAAAGGGGCTCTTCTCAGACGCACTGGAGATGTAGACTCGGAGAAGGGAGGCGCTTCAAACAGCGTCCATGCGCACGAAGGGCACCGAGGCTCTCACGGCGATGTTAGCCGAAATTGACTGTCTCTGCATGATTTATGCGAGCTTTGTTCCGGGGCTGGTGGGCGATCCGCTTGGCGGCCCTGCTCCCTCCGTTTGACCCCCGTGGCGCTGGTGCCGCAGGCCGCCACCTAGGTCCATCTGATCCCCTTTGGTGGCAGAGCCGTGGCCTCTGTGAGCCGGTCAGCCAGGGAAGGGCCTCTCCAAAGTTTCTCGTGACTCCCAAGTGGCACAGGCAGCCCTGAGCCCTCTCTGTAGTGACAGCGGCTCAGATTTCATATCACGCAGCCCATAACGTCAACAGCACCATCCCCCTGATTGTTTTGTTCTTACCACACTTGTTTTTCAACAGAGAATCCAGGCCAGAGCCTGAACAGACTATTTCAGGAGGTACCGAAACGAAGAAATGGGTCTGAAGGTATGTCGCAGGCAGGTGTTTTTCTTTGCAGTTAGTAACCTAGGAAGCAGCATGTCCTTAGCTGTGTATTTGGGTTAAAACTGTACAGTGTGATTCTGGCCTGGAACCTGATGGAAAAACAGAGCTAGTAAGTATAAAACAAAGCACGGGTTCAAGTACGCACGGCCCCTTCCCCCTGAGCTGCCCGCGCTCTACCGAGTGCAGGAGGGGGCGGCACCACTAAGATGAGCCCCAAAACGCGAATCCCACACCCGCCCCCCTCTTAGATTCAAATTACGCCTTTCCCCATTTCCCAAGAAGCAGGTGAAAGAGTAATTTGTTGCTCTGAGAAGAATCAGGTGACTGAGTCAGATGAGATACTGCTGCTTCCTTGTACCTTCCCTGAACTCTGAAATGTGTCGAGGGCATGACAGAGGGGACAGATCCCAGATGGAACCTGCTCGCCAGCCCCCGTGGCACTCCTCGGAGTCGCAGCTTCGATGGGGTTTTGTCCCGGTGGCTTGCCTGTTTTTAAATGGTTTAATGTGGCGGTTCACACTGAGTGAGGTAGTGACCGATTCAAACACGTGGACGGCTTCCGGGAAGAACCGGGCCAGCCCCAGGGCCGTAGTAGCTTCAGCGCATCTGTGCACGTGGCTGCGCGGCGGAGCATCACCATGTGACCGAAAGACGGGATTCTTGTCCTTTAGGCATGTCCGCAGGCCTCTCTCCTTGTTCATAAATTTTAAAAAGATAGTATGTGATAAGAGACCCGAAAATTTTAACTTAAGCCTTCAGCCTCCTCACCTTGTAGAGCAAACGATAGCGACAGAATCAGCCTCCACCCCTTGCCCTCTCTGCCCATTTTTCCGCTCTGGGATACTGGCCTCAAGGACACGTACAAAGCCTTGAACGTAGTCCCAAGCCAAAGCAGCTGCTGGAGTTGTTTTTAAATGACTCACAAACAAAGCGTTGCCTTTTAATCCTTCATCTTGTTTCTTATACCGGATTAAATGATTCGCTCTCCCTGGTCCCACCCCACGGGTGACGTCCAGCTTGGATAATGTGAGAGCTTGTCCCACTGGCCGAGTACTGTCTGACGCCAGGTGGAGTCAGTGGGAAGCCCTTCCTGCCCCAGGGCCGCGGTACCTGCTGTGGAGTTGCACGCACAGCAGGTACAGGTAAACGGGAGGCCACGCCTGCCTCCGTGTCGTCACCGGCCTCCGCTTGGCCGCTGGTTATCAGAATGACGTCTTTGTGCAGCCCTGAGTCTTGTTCCAGGTGTGGGTCTGATGTCGTTGGTGTGGTTTCTCCCTGCAGGTAACATCACCACCCGGATCCGAGCCTCAGAGACCGGGTCCGATGAGGCAATCAAGTCCATCCTGGAACAGGCCAAAAGGGAGCTGCAAGTACAGAAAACCGGTACGGAGTCCAGGCCTTCGACCGCTGTCTTCCACACTTAGTTGAAAGAATTGTCATGAGTGTTCTGGTCAGCAGTAATTAACTTTGTTTAAAAAAAAAAAAATTGAATGTATGTTTTCAAGCCTTTAGGCAAGCACAGAGGGGAGCAGGTCTGTGTGATGTCTATTTTGCTAATAGTTACCATTCTAGGTCATTCCCTAGCATTGACTCAAGAATGTACCCCTGGCCTAGAATCTCCGTGACTTAAAATAGCAAGTACTTTGTATCAGATTCCCTTTTTTTTTTTTTTTTTTTTGCGGTACGCAGGCCTCTCACTGTTGTGACCTCTCCCGTTGCGGCGGGGCACAGGCTCCGGACGCGCAGCCTCAGTGGCCATGGCTCATGGGCCCAGCCGCTCCACGGCACGTGGGATCTTCCCGGACCTGGGCACGAACCCACGTCCCCTGCATCGGCAGGCGGACTCTCAACCACTGCGCCACCAGGGAAGCCCCCAGATTCCCTTTTTTAAATGCAACACAGGCTTTTGCCACTTGGGTATATACTGACCACAGCTGCTTTATGGAACAGACGTTGCCAGAGAGGAGCAGGAAGTGTTAAAGGGTGGATGGCCCCACCTCTGCAGTCAGTCGGCTTCAGGAATCGGCCCTCATAGCCCCCTGAGAGCTGCCTTGTGTAAGGGAACAGCCACAGTTCAGCTTTCCTGCGGCTGCACTTTGCTTGAGAGGCGTGCCAGGCTGTAGATTCAGCTCAGACCTTCTGCTGGAGAGGAAACCTGAGTGCTCTACCCGGGGTTCAATACAGACACACCCCTGCCCTGTGCCCACGAAGCCCCTGCTCTGTGGAGTCCTTCTGCCACAGACGTGGCCGCGAGGCCCCACCAGGCCTGGCTGCAGGCAGCTGTGACCGCTTAGCACCTGCCACCACCTGGTCGCTCCCCTGGGTTCCTGAGCTAGGGCCTGCCCACTGGCCCTCCCCCTCCCCCTCCCCCTTGGTGGCCACACCGTAGTCACCCACCCGGAAGGGGATCTGAGCTAACAAAACCACTGGAATTTGGGGGTATAGCACACGAGAGTGTTAAGTCTAAAGTGATCCCGGAAAGAGAGTCACAGAGCATTTGCACACGTAACCCCCCCGGCCCCGCCCCCCGTCACACTCGTGATCATAACTTACCCCTTCGGCTGGTGTGTCGCGGAGGCCGTGTGGTCGCACAGCAGGCGCGTTGGCCCCTCTGTCACTGCTCGGACGGGGTGCGCGAACGTTTCACGACGGGGGAAACGTTGGAAAAACAGAGCCGTGAGGTTCTCCCCAGTAACCTGCATGCGGTGGCAGGTCGGGTCAGGATGAAGTGGAGTGAAAAAGCACAGGGCGGTGCCGCCACCGTCTCACCTCTGTGTTTGCTCCGCAGCAGAGCCGGCCCAGCCTTCCTCGGCGTCCAGCAGCGGGAACTCCGACGACGCCATCCGCTCCATCCTGCAGCAGGCCCGCCGCGAGATGGAGGCCCAGCAGGCCGCCCTCGACCCCGCCTTAAAGCCAGCGCCGCTGTCCCAGACAGACATCGCCATCCTGACCCCCAAGCTAATGCCCCCCTCGCCCATGTCGTCAGTGTCCGGTTACTCTCCATTAGCCGTCTCCCTGAAGAAGCCCCCCTCGGCTCCCGACTCCAGCGCCCCGGCTCTGCCCAACCCCCCGGTCCTGAAGAAGGAGTCCCAGGACGTGCCCGGGCCAGACCTCCCGGGGGCGGCCGACTCCGCACAGGGGGTCCTCAGACACGTGAAGAGCGAGCTGGGCCGCAGTGGCGTGTGGAAAGACCACTGGTGGAGCGCCGTCCAGCCCGAGAGGAAGAGCAGCGCTCCCCCCGAAGACCCCAAGGCTGAAGAAGCCAGTGGCGGGAAAGAAAAAGGCGGCGGCGGCAGTGGCGGGCAGGCGCGGGCCGAGCGCGGCCAGCTCCAGGGCCCCTCCTCGTCAGAGTACTGGAAGGACTGGCCCAGCGCCGAGTCGCCGTACTCCCAGAGCTCAGAGCTGAGCCTCACCGGAGCCAGCCGCAGCGAGACACCCCAGAACAGCCCTCTGCCCTCCTCCCCCATCGTGCCCCTGTCGAAGCCCACCAAGCCCTCGGTCCCTCCGCTGACCCCTGAGCAGTACGAGATCTACATGTACCAGGAGGTGGACACCATCGAGCTCACCCGGCAGGTGAAGGAGAAGCTGGCCAAGAACGGCATCTGTCAGAGGATCTTCGGGGAGAAGGTAAGGGACTCGATGTGGGAGGCTGGGTCTTCCCATCTCCCTTCACTGCTTAGGACTGCGTATCTGTCTGGAGGGTGTGGCCGTCACCCACTTAGTTAACCAAGGAGCATCGTGGCTCGTCCACTCCCAAACTTCCGGCGAGGCTGGCCGGTGAACGCTCCATTTGCGGCATCCCCGTTGGGGGCCAGGTTCTGGGTGAGGCCCTCTCACCCTCCATGGTCCTTTAGACCTCTTGTCTCACACTGTGAGGGGGTGGCAAAGTCGCCATTTGACAGATGAGGAAACCGAGGCTCAGGGAAGTTAACTATGTGCCCCAAGCTAGCAGGTGACTGAATCGGGTTCTGTCCCCCCAGCCAAGTGGAGCCCAGAGGCGCCTCTGCAGGCTGTTTCGGCCAAAAGGATCTGATCTGATCACAGAGAGAGACGGCCAGCGTGCAGAGAACCAGAAGGCACTCGATAGAAGCAGCAACGTAAAGCGTAGTTGTACCTCTCTCATAATTCAGAACGTGCTTGGGGCACCAGAGGGGTGAAGCAACCTGCCCAGGGATGCACAGCTAGAGGTGGCACGGGCAGAGCTGCACAGAGCCCAGGCTGTGCCCAGGACTGGCCTCGAAGACCCTTGTTTCCACATCGGCCTTCCCTGGCTCACGAAAGGCCATGGTTTGTGGATGGGCTACCAGACCCTTTCTGTTCTTGGCACTTCCTGGTCACTGAGATTCTGGATAATGGGGATTTACCAGGCCTGCAGAATATAAGATAAACGTAATACCCCGGGATAGTCTTAGATTAAACAATGAATTGCTGAGCATAATGAGAAGCGCTCCAGTCCCCTAAAAGACAGCCTCCCCGGGACTTCCCTGGTGGCGCAGTGGTTGAGAGTCCGCCTGCCAGTGCAGGGGACACGGGTTCGAGCCCTGGTCCGGGAAGATCCCACATGCCGCGGGGCAGCTAAGCCCGTGCGCCACAACTGCTGAACCTGCACTCTAGAGCCCGCGAGACACAACTACTGAAGCCTCCGCGCCTAGAGCCCGCGCTCCACAACAAGAGAAGCCGCTGCAATGAGAAGCCAGCGCACCGCCACGAAGAGTAGCCCCCGCTCGCCGCAACTAGAGAAAGCCCTCGTGCAGCAACGAAGACCCGATGCAGCAAAAAAAACAAAAGACGGCCTCCCCAAGGGCCACGTGGCTGGGTCAGCAGGGGCCTGCCCCGCACCTTCCTACCCGCCTTCCCAGGTCCTGCCTCGAGTTCAGTGTTTGCCACGTACTGTGCTGTGAATCCTCGAAACACGGTTGTGAGCTCTTTGTCCCAACTTCGCAAAAGGTGACGGGGTGAATAGAAATGAGGATGAGAATTGAAAGTCCCTTGAAATTTCTAGTTCAGCGTTGTAAAAATATCATTTGAGAACATTTAAATAGACATTTGTGCTCATGCCTTAAATTTAGCAGAGACTTAATAGCATTGAACTTGTTTGGCCCGTGAGTGCAGTTTATTCTGGAACTTGAGAACTTTTCAAAGAGTGATCGGATGCGGCCCCTAAATATCTCTGGGCTGCATCTGTGTCCTGTGGGGGGTGTTTGTGCCCATACATATGTATGGCCATATGTGAGCGTAACAAAGTCGGGTATGTACGTGCAACTTGTCGATCGTCTGCAGTGAGCTTCACTCCCAGGCTGGCTCCTTGGTTGCCACCAGCTCACCTCTGGGCCCCTACCATCGAGCAGGATGTGATCAGAGAGAGCAGACCTTTCTAAATGCCAGGCTGGCCCGGCGCCGGCAAAGGAGACGGGCGCCCGCATCCCGCCAGCATCCGTCGCTCCTGCTCTAAAGGGGTCCTTGGCCCCCAGCACCTCGGCCTTTGCTGGCGCCACCAGGCAAAGAGCAACAGAGTTTCAGTGCTTCCTCCTCGGGCTGTCAGGACGACAACCCTGCAGGCTTGGCAGGATCGAGACCCTGGAGGGAGCCCCTCCCCTCCGTTTGCCCACCCTCCTCTCCCTGGGAGCTGAAAGCTGGGACTGACCGTGGCTCCCCGTGTCAGGGCATCAGCCCACTGGTGACCTTGAGAAGCTTATCCCCCACCCCAGGCTGTTGCCACCCACCCCCAGGGGCCGGTTCCTTGCTCGGCCCCAGGAGCGCTCCCCACGTGCCACCCATCCCGACCACGCCTCCGCATGGCCTCGCGTGTACCACTAACATTCTGCGGCCTCACACCGAACCCGGGGTGCTGATGCTGTGTGTCTTTGGTCGCCATTCCAGGTGCTGGGCCTGTCCCAGGGCAGCGTCAGCGACATGCTGTCCCGGCCGAAGCCGTGGAGCAAGCTGACCCAGAAAGGCCGCGAACCCTTCATCCGGATGCAGCTCTGGCTGAACGGCGAGCTGGGCCAGGGCGTCCTGCCTGTCCAAGGACAGCAGCAAGGGCCAGGTAAGGGCAGCCCCGCCCTGGGCTGCTGCAGGCGGTGGGGGAGGGGAGCCTGTGCTGGGAGACCACCCGCCACGCTGTCAGCTGCTGCCTGAGAGCCGCCCCCCTTCCTCCACCACCTGTTGCCATGGGACTGACTCAGTTTTTGGGAGAGAGAAGATTGTGCCTAGCTAATTTTATAAGCAGCAGAAAATGCGTTACCAATTAGGAAAATGCTGTTTATACATAAATATAGGTAAGAGTCAAGTAGCTAAATCAGGGCAGCAGGAAAGGAAATCAGCCAGAGGAGCAGAACGAAGGGTCTCGTGGGTGACGGCCTCCGCTGGCTCGCCAGCCAGTGGCCAGCTTTCTACCGGCAGCGCCTCGCCTGCCAGCGTGGACGCCCACCCCCCGCCCCGTTCTGGCCCTCCCCGGAAGGAGTGGGTGCCCTCCCTTGGGCCTTTGGGGCCCTTATTGCTGTGCTCCGGGTATTAGGAAGCTCTAACCGCCCCCCCCAAGTTTGTTTCCTCGTTTAACTGTACCCATTTCTCTCGTTTAGTCCTGCACTCCATGACGTCACTCCAGGACCCCCTGCAGCAGGGCTGCGTGAGCTCAGGTAACTAGCCATGTCCGGTGTTTTGAATGAAACATTTCCCTGCCTTTTGTGTTTTCCTCTGGTCTGTACTGGGAAGACTTGAAGGATCCCTCGTTCTGGATCCGGTGAGCTGAAAACATGGTACCCTCTAGGCAAACTGGCTTCGTCGAGGTCGTAGTTTCTAACGAAGAAGGAGAGAGTCTACGGCCGAGTTCAGGTTCCTCCAGCGTTTTCTTGTTCCTCACCGTGCGCTTTCATCAGTCTGTCGGCTCCTAGGTGTGAGGCCCTGTGTTCGGGGCTGGGGGCTGGGGTCCGAGTCAGAGACGGATTCTGTGCTCAGGGGGCTTCCAGTCTCATAGCAGGGGACAGGGGACAAGGAACGGGCATTGCAGTTCAGGGCGTGACACTCAGGAGAGTGGGACTGAGGTTGGGGTCCAGCCTGGGAGCAGGTGGTGGAGGGCCTGGAGCCCGGGCCCAGGAGCTGGGGCTGCTTCCGGCGGCATCTGAGAGCCCCGAGGCCTGGTCTTTGAGGTCACATCTCCGCCACGCGGACTCCTGGACACGGCAGCCCGGGCTGGCCCACACCCCTGATTCCTGGACCCCCTCCTTGTCCTTCCTGTGTGCCCGCCTGTGCCAGGCTTTTCCCACCCAGCTCCCAGGAGCAGCCAGCATCGTGAGCTGTTCCTCTGTTTTTCTTTCTTTATTTTTCTAAACATGTTGATTAGTCTCCACATCCCATTGATGCATTGAAAACACAAACAAAGCTAAGTGCGGAGCGTGGAGCCCGCCAGCCTGCTGGAAGTTTGACGAGGGAAAACACGTGTCGTGAGGGGAACAGCTGGGCGGCAGCGGCCTCCGCCGCCTCGGAACTCCAAACCCGCACACAGATGCAGCCAGTGCCGGGCGCCGCTAAGCTCCCGGCTGACGTTCTCTTGTATTCGGGGTGTTCCGTCTTGAGGGGTGGAAGGCTGTATCTAGCCCAAGCTCTTGGTTCTCTTGGCTGGACCTCTAAATGGAGTGGTTGGCCCTCTGAGAAGGATCAGGTGTACTTCCTTCTCCCTGCCTTTCTGCGTTGGCCAATTTCATTAGCAGGTACTGGAGAACTTACACAGCACTGGCGCCCGTTCAAAACACATTAGAGAAAATAATGGACGCGGTTGTTTGTGCTAGAGTTTTGCGGACGTTTGCATGGAAAGTTCTCCTTGCCTCTTGCTCTAATGGAAAGCTGGGCCCTGTTAAACTCTCCGAGTACCCGCCGCCCCATCAGAGTCAGGACCCAACTTGGCAGAATGTGACTAACGGTTTTTAGATCAAAACCCCTCATTCCTAAATAAAAGAAGAAATCGCCTGCAGCCCCAGGTCGGCTGCGATGGATGCCAGAACCTTCCCCGTGTCGGAACAAATCCTTAAAGAATGGCTCTTGGCTTTCTATTGTATAGCGAGCACTCGCTGCTGTGGTGCAACATTCCTATGACAGCCACGTTTCCAACCTGGGAACAGCTCACAGGGCTCCTCGGAGGGACGTAAGTGATATTTGTAAGAGATCAAATTACTTTATAAAATAAGGAGATCTAAACTCTTGGGGAGCCTGCAGATTGAAGGAGGGAGGGAGGCAGGAGGCAGTGAGCCCCTGGGTACAAGTGAGTGCTGCAGAACTTTCCCCTGCTTTCTGTGAAGAGGCCCAGGCAGGCCTCTCTGTGTCGTCTCCGCAAGACGGGAGGTGGATGGCCGACCTCTCACTCGACGCGCCTGTTGTGAGTCAGCAGTTGGGAAGCCATCCGTAGAAGTAATAATTATGGTGATTGTGGAGAAAGGTGGAAAACTTATTTCTTACATTCTAGGAAAATAGAAATTTTTTTTTTTTAAGTCACGATGGTAGCTAAGCGCAAATGTTTCTCTGGATCAGGAGAGACTAGAAAGTGCTTGTCAGAATGAAAAGACAGATGATCACATAGCGGCAAGACTGTGGGTGGCAGCTTTCCTTGTTTGAAATTTCTTTACTATCAGCGTTATCCTTTCAGGAGTGTTTCTAAAAATTAAAGTAGCCGTGCCTTTCGGTATGTGGAATTCAGATTTGAAAAACAGAATTCTCTTATGATGATGAGTGTTGGTAAATCAGTGGGATGAGTGACTATTGGAGACGCCGGGATCTTTGACAGCCTAAAAAATCAGTGTCTGGCCTTCCCTGGCGGTTCAGTGGTTAAGACTCCGCGCTTCCAACGCAGGGGGCGCAGGCGGGGAGCTAGGATCCCGCATGCCGCGCAGTGTGGCCAAAAAAAAAAAAAAGTGTCTTGGAGGAAGCATTCAGCATTGCCCCCCAAAAGGCAGGGGAGCAACGCCTCTGGCCTAGGATTTCTCCAGGATTCTGATTCCCTGCTCTCGCCGTGGCTACCACGGAATCCTTCCAAGAGGCCCCCAGACCCAGAAAGATGCTCTGTCCTTGGTGGCTCCATGAGGCCTCTGCCCAGGGCAGCTCAGCGTGGTGGCAGCAGATGGCTGCAGGAAGGTAATTCTGACCCTGGGTTGGTCTGTTCCTGAATATTGGTGAGAAACACTCAGTGTCTGAGAATCCAGGCTGCCGAACTGGCCCGGCCATCGGTTCAGCCTCCCAGGTGTGGAAGGACTTTGGAAGACCCACCTTCCGTCCACAGCCTCGGTCTGAGCAGAGATCGCGTGGGTCTAATGCAGGGCTCTGTGCTTCGTTTCCATGGCAATGAGGTGCCCCGGGGGTGGAGGGCCTCACTCAACTAAACAGCAAACTGCTGACACGGGACTCTGTTTTCCTCGCTAAGAATTCCTGTCTGCCTCTTTCTGCCCAGCCCTGTTGCCCTCAGCATCTCCATTTTCCTTAATGATTTCTGTGTCAAACTTGCCGATCAGGTTCATGATAAAGGAGAGAGAAACTGAAGTTTCCAGTGCCTCATCACTTTTTCCTCCTGGTGGTTGTAACCATTTCTGAACGTTCCTTTGATGATTCGAGACGTGGGGTGATGGCCTTGGACACTGAGGAGAACTGATGCCACTTGCAGTGAGTGACCTGCGCTGTTGAGGCCTTGAGGAGGAGAATGGAGGGTTCCATACCGGTCATATGAGTAACTTAAAAAAAAACAAAACCGGTTTTTAAAGGACAGAACTTCAGATCAGTTACCTGTTCCTGTATTTCCTGGTGGTCTAGTTTCACATTTTTTTTAATATCAATTTATTTATTTTTGGCTGCGTTGGCTGTCCGTTGCTGCGCGCGGGCTTTCTCTACTTGCGGCGAGCTCTTCGTTGCGGTGCGAGGGCTTCTCGTTGCAGTGGCTTCTCTTGTTGCGGAGCGCGGGCTCTAGGCTCGCGGGCTTACTTGCTCCGCAGCATGTGCGATCTTCCCGGACCAGGGCTCAAACCCGTGTCCCCTGCATTGGCAGGCGGATTCTTAACCACTGCACCACCAGGGAAGTCCCTCTATACACACGTTTCTGTTGGCTTCTTTCAAAGTCCCCAGTGTCTTGGGTTGTCGTTAATAATATGGCAAGACAGGTGCAGGTAGTCCTTTGGGATTGGTTCTCCGAGTCTCGCATTTGTTTGTCTCCCATCCCCGCTATCACGCATCAGCTACCCTCGCCCTGCGTAGCAGTAGCAGTGCTCAGGAGAAGCAGAGGAAGCGCTCAGAGAAGGAGAAAGGAGGGACCGAGTAAGGCTTGTTTTCTCTGAGTGTGGCCTGTGGTCATTGCTTATCAGTTAGGAGGGTGTTTCTCTTTTAAAGAAGAAAACCTTGAGATGTAGTGAAGGTGTACGTGTGTGTATCCGTGTAGGTAGTACGGAGGTACCTAGTTAGATGTGATCTACAATTGGATTTTTTTTTTCCTTTTCATTCCTTAAAGCTCATTTCATATTCATGGTTCCTTGGTGTGATTAATCTTTTTGCCCCAAGGGAAAGAAGGAGACAAGAGACAACTCCAAAGCGGGGAGAAAGAAAGGGGAAGGAACAGATTTTTCTAAATGCGACTCAGTCACTCATCACCTTATGGAGAATTGACAGGAGTTGCCCATGCGCTCAGCTTTGTAACTTTTTACTCTGGGAGCACTTCGTTACTGTAGCTCACAAGCTTCCACGCCCAGATGGATTATTGCAAGCCATACCGACGAAAGGATGGCCCAGTCTCCTCGGATTAATTATAAAATACCCAGCTTTTTCCCAGCGTGTCAGGCAGGAACTGCGGGTTCCGGAATCTTCTCCGGCTGTGGAGAATTCCATGGCTCCTCGTCACTGTTCTCACCCAGCCGACCGCCAGTTCCCTCTTGAGAAGATAGCAGCTGCGTCCCTCTCTAACGTGGGTGGTCCCACGTGTGCCCCCTCCCTGACATGAGCACCACGGGGCTGTATGCTGCACATGGCCTTACGCAGCCAGAGAGTCCCAGAACCACAGCTCCCAGTTAGGGACAGGCCAACCTTCCTTTTTAATGTGCGGCTCTTGGTCGGTACCCATGAAATGACCAGGAGAACACGTCCACGGCTTTAGTGCTTTAAACTCAGCTTCCTTGAATAAGCAATCAGTTCCTCAGTTTTGGTGACTAAGTCAGGGTGGGGCATTTGCATAGCACATTAATAAGAAGAGGAAGGGCTGGTCGAACCCCCAGAGAATTCCGTGGCACCATCTAAAGGAGGCAGAACGCTTTGTTCAGTGCCCTAGACTAGAACTGAGTTGATTTTTTTTTTCCTTTCTTTTTTTTTCTTCTCTTTCATGGAAATACGTCAGTGAAAGTAACTATTGGTGCTCTCTGAAAAGAACTCTTCTAACTCGTCATTTATTTTGAATACCTGAAAAGATTTGTATATACATAACTGATGTATACATGGCCGTAGGCAACAGATCAAAAACAAAAGAGAATTCTGGAAAGCCACGTGTGAGCTAGGAAGCGACCCCTCCCGAGCAGGTGGCTGCTCTGCTCAACATTAGTCGTGGGGCTCAGCCTCCGCCCCCCACTCACCGGCCATGAACTTGGCGGCCAGAAGAACCAAGTGCGCATTCCTTTCTCTC